CATAAACAAGGATCTTTGATGCTAATTCCTAGTCCTGTATACATTATTGACCCTTTTCACAGTAATTAAGCAGTTCATTCTCAAGGGCTAGTTTTCTCATATTTGGAAATATAGAAGAAAACAAGCGTGTCCATTTTTCATTTGCTACCACATAAATGATGTTCAAATAAGTTGCAGCTCTCCATTACATAACACATAAGGTGAACATGTATTGATCCTTATTTTTATTAAAAGTGAACATTATGTGGGGGGAATTCCAGTACCGCATTTTTGAAGAAGCTAATTTTATCTGTAAAATGCTTTTCCTTTATTGATTACAGAAATTATTTATTATAATTTTGCAATGCACTTTAAGCTGTTTTTGTGAAATTACCATGTTATATATTTAACAGAAGATGAAGAAATAGCACCAACAAGAGATGTATCTCGTCACTTTGAGGACACTAGCTATGGTTATAAAGATTTCTCAAGACATGGGATGCAAGTACCTACCTTCCGTGTACAGGTAAGCCATACATTTTCAGTATAGAAATGTAAAGTGTTCTCCAGAATATTAGGTGTATAAATTACATAGAATATTAGGTATATAAATTACACACTGTATGTTTTTTTTTATAACTTTAAAGCAAGCATAGGCAATTGGTGCCCTGCAGATCTGAACATTTACTTATCATTCTCAGGCAATATATAGGGGGACTATTGTGAAAGCTATGCAGATAACCATTCATTTAGCAACCTTTCAAAGTTACAACGGCACTGAAAAAAAATGACCTGCGACCAGTCCTCATACTTACAACTGTCACACCATCCCCACTGTCAAGGGATCAAAATCCAGGCACTTGATAATGATGGGCATGTATTTAGATGGTTGTAGCATCCAGGGATCATATGGGGGAGTAAGCATTCCAGCCAGCTTTGGACAAGCAAAGTCAAAAGAGGAAGCCAAATGACTGCATGATTCACTTAACTGCAGTCACTCAGTTAACAAACCTAGCAAAAAAAAAGTTCATAAAATGAGGCGCAACTCACTTAAAAAAACACCTTGCTTAGGAATGGAAATTCTTGGTCCTAAGTTGAGGACTACCTGTAGTTGAAACCAGTGGAGGACAACAGAGTATCCATGCTGTTGGCATACATACCAATTATTTCCTTAATTTGGGTTTTAAAAATGAAGTGAAAAATATATTTTTCTACTTTGTCAAAAAGTTCTTGAGAACTTGGTTCCATGTACCCATTTTGCTTTTAAGGACTATTCGTGGGAAGACCATGGGTATTCACTGGTAAATCGTCTCTATCCAGATGTAGGACAACTGATAGATGAGAAGTTTCAAATTGCCTACAACTTGACTTACAACACAATGGCTATGCATAAAGATGTGGATACATCAATGCTTAGACGTGCAATCTGGAATTACATCCACTGTATGTTTGGAATAAGGTTGGTCCAGATCAGCTTTAGTTATCTATAAATTTTGGCAATTTTGCTCCCCATATGAGCTCTGTACATATGCAGTAAGCTTGAACATTTATTATCAGACTGAGTTTATATTAAGAACCTAATCAAAAGGCACGAGCATAGAATCAATGAACTCAATAAAAAAATAATTGCACTGGTAACTCATTATCAAATGCTTTTAAAAGCAAATTCATGATAACAATTCTGCTTGAGGTTTAGCGCAAAAATGGAAGAGCAAGGAAATTCCCACAGAGGAAGAGTTAATACATAAAATATTAGCATGTGCGGAAATGGACAGGCTCACAATGATATTAAAAGACAAATGTGGATCAGTTTATTATGAAACCTGAGATAAATTTTACCGCTGGAGGAATTTGAAGAGGACGGTCGGGATTAAAGATGAATGTTAAGATAGAAATATATGTTATTTTAGAACAAGTATTGTATATAAAACTTAGATGTATATGTAGAGATGAAGAATTGATTGTAAAAAGTGGAATAATCTGATAAGAATGTATATACTGGAATGTCACGTTAAATCCAATGTTTGTTTGTTTTTAACTGTATTATAAATAAAATTTGTAAAAACAAAACAAAAAAAACACAATTCTGCTTGAGGTAAGAGCCTCGTACCCTGAGAAAGCTAACCATAATTTTAAAAGTAAAAGTGATTCTAGAACAAAGGTCTTGTGTTGCTCCCAAATCCATGGCTGGAAGAAAGCTGTAATTTGTCAGGGAAAGCTGCAAATCGGAAAAGACAAAAGACAGCTGCTCTGTACTCTGAAAGTCAATACCTGGAGAGGATTGCATAGAGTAGAAGATGGAAACAGGCAAAGCACCAAAAAAAAAAAAAAAAAAAGTGGGGATAGGTGCTATTTCCAACATATTGAGAATTGACAAAAATACTCAAGATACTATTACAATTGGGATTTTACCAAAACCAGTTTAAGATGTATCAGAAAACATGGCTATGAAATAGCAAGCAATAGCACAGTAATTATAAATGGCAACAGTGTGATGCAAAGTCTGAAAGTATTTATTCTTTTGATTATAGATATGATGATTATGACTATGGTGAAATTAATCAGCTGTTGGACCGCAGCTTTAAAATTTATATCAAAACTGTAGTGTGTGCTCCTGAGAGGACCACAAATAGAATGTATGATAGCTTTTGGAGGCAATTCAAACATTCTGAGAAGGTATGTTGTATACACATTGTTATATATCTGTGTCCTGTGACTTAGTAGGTTGAATAATATTGCTTGACAGTTGCATCTACTAAGACATTCATTTTGCTTATATTGACTTAAATAGCTCTTTACACTTTCACTAGTCTGTAAAGTTTTTGTCTTTACATTATTGCTCTTAGTGGAAATCACGACGTTAATGAATATACTGTATTGAGAAAAATTCTGTATGATTAGAGGTATCTTGTCTCTCCTGATAAAGACTTAGTCATTCCAGGCCTAAAGCCAAGATCACAGGCTAATGAATATTGCACATATAGCAACCGTATGGAGGCTGTAGTCCACCTAATTGGCTGTTGTATAAGATCCCTGCCAGCATCAGCCACTAGTATGTTCATGGATTTCTGTCTGGCTTCAATTCAAATATTAGCAGCATTTCTGCATGCCTTAGAATACTGTAAAGCAGGCATCCCCAACCTCTTGGGCACCAGGGACTGATTCCATGGAGAAAGGTTTTTCCACGGACCAGAGCGTGTGTGGTTTTGTGTACTGCCTGCATCCCGTGGATGGGGCTTTGCTTGTTTGTGTGAACCAGTTGCTGGCATGCCGCGGCCCGGTACCGGTCCACGGACTGGGGGTTGGGGACCCCTGCTGTAAAACACAAAAGATACTAAACCCAACTATTTTTGTTTTCTTTAAGGTTCACGTCAATTTGCTTCTCATAGAAGCACGGATGCAAGCTGAACTGCTTTACGCTCTGAGAGCCATTACTCGTTACATGACGTGAAAACCTTGGGCAGTAGTAATCGAAGGGGCAACTTACCAGGGCTTGTTAAGGGGCTTCTCAACCAGCAGGGGCTAAAAGCCATGAAATTATTTGTGCCATAGTGTTTATTATTACTACTACTGCTACTACTAGTATTATTGCAGCTCTTTCCTTAATGGGATATCACTGCTAATGTTGAGCTTAGTGGTAGGACAGTTGTTCAGAGACAGAATCAAATGGATTCCAGTCTGCTCTAGTTAGCATAGGAGGCAATGACTTCTGCCAGACAACTAATTACCGAAATCTTTATGTATCGTTACAAATGAATAAGAATGTTGCTTTTGATATAAGGGTGAATCATGTTTTTATAAAAGTCCTGATGCTGCTGAACTTGCTGGTTAAATGAAGAGACTAGCAATTCCAGTTATTAAGCTATAAACAAATGCAAGCAATGCTATTGTCTGAGCCTACATTGTATGTGATGTTAGAGAAGATTATTGCCGATAATGCAGAGCTGAACAGGATGTTACATTAAGAGTTTTGATTGTTAAGAGAATCTTTTGCTGTCTGGGTTGGGCTTATATCAAACTGAAGCAGTGTGAGACTTTCAAAGCTCCTTAAAAATCTGCAACTTTGTGAAAAGCTAAATAGTTGAGAGCAAGGATAGATAATCTACTTCTTCAATATTCCTAGAAGCTATCAAAGGTGTGGAAACATCCATTCAGGTATCAAATAGCTTCTTATTAAAACACTCATTGCTACAGCCTGCCCCTTAAGCAGCAGCTTATGTAGTTAAACAAGAAATTAACATAAGAACAACAAAAACAAAAACCCTGTAAGTGACTTTGACATATATGTGTGAGTGCGTGCATGTGTAAAATATATGGACACTTTTTGTATGAAGTCTGTTAGTATTACTGGGTTGTTTAAATAAAAAAACGTTTTCCTCTTTTTTCAGACTTCTTACACTAGTATCAATTCATTACAAAATAGACTAATGAATGCTGTGTCTGCTGTGTATTACTAATTTGTGTTTGAGAGAAAAACGACAAAAGTTAAACTGCAATTCTTGACAGTTCAACAGGAAGCATCTGCTATTTCCTTTATTCAAAAATGCAAGGCAAATGCTGATCCAAAACATATAAGCCAAATGTGCAATTTTAACTTGGCTTTGGCTAAAAATGCCAATTTCATTCCCTCTAAATGAATTTCATTTTTAAAATCAAGTAACTATCGTCACTTACCAAATTAGCTTATCAATAAATGGACAAGGATTATAATCTTTTCACATAAATACATTTACAATTGTTTAAAAATAAAAATCTGCCTTTATACTGTGATTTTTCAATATATTTTTTAATTTTTGGGTGGAGAATGTTAGTCCGAATCATCTAAAAATTAATGTTGAAATTCTTGACCAAATGCAATACTAGTTCTATACATTAAAACCTAACAAAATTATTTAACAATGAATGCTGTCTGAATTCCTTTATCTACACTTGATAACCATAGTACTAATTCTTGCAATCTTTTATAAAATCTTAAGTATAAACCATAAGAGTATTATAAAGTTAAATGAAAAAGATACTAATTCAGATGTTGTAATTAGTTTATTTTTGTTTCCTAAACGCCACTGTAAATTTAAGAAAAAAGGTATTCTACAATGAATGTACATGCTATGTAGAAAAACTAAAAAACAAAAGGCATTTTCCGTGGAAACAACATACTGAAATGTTTTAATATCAAATGATTTGCAAAAGCAGCAGCAGAAGTGATTTGCACATTGATTGAATCAACACCCATCTTGAAATGAAGTATTAGGACCTCGAGTAATGATTTTCAATTTTGAATTCTCTGGAGAAGTTTCTGTGCCACAGGTTTGAACTCTGTTTCCCAATAAAGTTTGTGATATTCTCTTAAGTCACTGTCAAAACTGTAAGCCAGTGCCAGTTCTTCATCTACAGCAAGAAAAAAGTACCTGCCGATCAGCATTAAATATACTTAAAACAATTTTGAAAGAGTTTTCACACATATATTTGGATGTATCTGCTACCAACACAGAGAAGAATCTTAAAAAAAAGAAAGTACACAAAAATCTTAAATTTCCTGAGGGGTTTTGGTGGTTGTGGTTTTTTCTTTTTCCCTGCCTTTGAGTCAGACTTGACTCCTAATTACTTAAATGTGTTTTCTAGGCAGCATTTGTAGAGGTGGTTTTGCCACTGCCGCCGCCTTGAGGCTGAGAAGGAGTGACCATTAGCCAAAGGTTACCCAGCTAGTTTTCATGCAAGAATAGAACTCAGGTTTCTGTGCTCCTAGTCTAATAATTTAAATAACTGATAGCTTCTTTAAAACAAAACCAGGTGGTTGGTACCATGTTTCCCTGAAAGTAAGACCTGGTCTCATATTTTTTGAGTCACCAAAATAAGACCTATTTTTGGGATAGGTCTTATATTTTTGCAGCCACAACAGAACAGGAGGCAAGGCAGGAGTGGGTGGGTTGCAGGACAAAGCGAGACGGTGGGGAGGTGGAGAACAAAGCAATGCACCGGTGCTGCAGCCACTAAGCAAGGTGTGTGTGTGTGGAGGAAGAGAGGCGGGGGAGTGCGGAGCACCCCGCACGGGCTGACAGAGAGCCCTGCAGCGAGGCCACCAACATGCCAACAACTGGCCTCGCCACCGCAGCTCCAGCAGCCCCATGCAGAATCGCCCAGCCCGCTTCTCCTTACTCGCCGCCACAACAAGGCAGGATGCCATGGCCACTAAGCGAGGGGGGGGGTTGAGGATGAAGTGAGGCGGTGGGTTGGAGGACGAAGCTTCTGCTTACTCGCCGCTGCAATGAAGCAGGAGACTGAGGAATGCACCAGTGCCGCGGCCACTAAATGAGGCTGGGGGGGGGGTTTGAGAACAAAGCAAGGCAGGATAGAAGATGAAGCTTCTCCTTACTTGCTGCCGCAACAAAGCAGGAGGCTAAGCAATGCACCCTTGCTGCGGCCACTAAGCAAGGTGGTGGGTGGGGTGAAGGACGAAGCTCCAAGAATATCCTTGGCTGCCTGGCCTGCAGAGCCCTGATGCTGATGGAGTGAGGCGGCAGCGGGCAGAGCAGCCCCTTCCCCATCACCCTTCACTTCCCCAAAGAATCCCTTCACTAACCTGCTTTCCAGCTCATTCGCCGCCTCCATGTGCAGGACAACAAAAGAAGCCTGTGAGACTACCAGTAAAAAAAAGTTCTAAAGAGACCTTCCAACTTTGCAAGATCTTTTTTTCACGAGAACCTGGAAGGTCGGATTGATCTTTTTTTTTTTTTTTTTTTAACCATAGTCCCACAAACTTCTTTTTGTTGCCCTGCATACGGAGAACAAGAGCTGGAAAGGAGCTTAGTGAAGGAATGTGGTTGCCCTGGGCTGGGGGTTAGGATTTGGCATTGTGGATGCCCTGGGGTGGGGTGGGAGTAAGGATTTGGAATTGTGGATGCCAAATCCTAACCCCCAACCCAGGGCAACCACATTCCGTCACTAAGCTCCTTTCCGGCTCCGTTCTCCGTGTGCAGGGTAACAAAAAGAAGTTTATGGGACTACAGTTAAAAAAAAAAAATCAATCCGACCTTCTAACTTCTCACGAAAAAAAAAAGATCTTGCAAAGTTGGAAGATCTGAACTTTTTTTTTTTTTACCAGTAGTGTCACAGGCTTCTTTTGTTGCCCACACACTGTGGCGGAGAACGAGCTGGCAAGCAGGCTAGTGAAGGGGTTCTTTGGGGAAGCGAGGGGAGATGGGAAAGGGGCTTCTCTGGCCGCCACCGCCTCACTTTGCCAGCATCAGGGCTCTGCAGGCTAGAATATTGTTGGGGCTTTGTCCTCCACCACCCCCACCTCACTTAGTGGCTGCGGCACAGGTGCATCGCTCAGCTTCCTGCTTCTTTGCGGTGGCGAGTAAGGAGAAGCTTCATCCTCCACCTCCCCCACTGCCTCTCTTAATGGCTGTGGCACCAATGCGTTGCTCAGCCTCCTGCTTTATTGCGGCAGCAAGTAAGAAAGAGAAGCTTTGTCCTCTACTCTCTCACTGCCTCGCTTTGTGGCAAGCAGACAGAATGGGCGGGTGGGCAGCGGCATAGGCTCTTAAGTAGGGCTTACTTTTGGGGTAGGTCCTATTTTGGGGAAAACGCGGAAATAGAAGCCGTAGTGGTGCAGTGATTAGAATGCAGTATTGCAGGTTAACTTACTGCTCACTGCCAGCAATTTGATTCTGACCGGCTCAAGGTTGACTCAGCCTTCCAGCCTTTTCAAGGTCAGTAAAATGAGGACCCAGAGTGTTGGAGGCAATATGCTGACTCTGCAAACTGCTTAAGACAGGGCTCTAAAGCATTATGAAGCAGTCTATAAGTGCTATTCCTATTGCTAATAATACTTTCTTGCTAAGACTCTGGAAAGACTGTAAATAAAATAATGGGCTACATAGAAAAAAGTCCTGTAAAAGCAACTTCCTATATGTCTTATTTCCATTCATTAAAGAAACACAGACTGTTTTTACAGCTTACCAAGAAATGTCATAAGAAGAACTAGAAGACTGTTTGAATCATCATCTTCAAAGCAGGGTTCATTACTTGTAACATTCTCACTGTAGTTCCACAAAGTTTTGCATATCAAACCAGCCAGTTGCCAGTCTGTGGGCCCAAAATCTCTCAAGCAATCGATTAATCTGTTGTATTAATAGGTGAAAAACAAATGTTTGATTTTATATAGCTGTTATTAAACCCTTGCAAAGCTAGAGTCTTTGTAGGAGCCTTGTAGGAAAATAGAAACAACAATATACTAGATATCCCCCCTATCCCCCCGGTGTGATTTTCAGCAATATCTTTTCTGACTCGGCTACTTTCTAGGACTTACTTTTTAATTCCTCCTCCTTCATTCAAAATACTCCGCCTGCTTTTATCTACAGTAAGATTGAGGAGAACTCCACAGGCTGAAAAGCAGACATCTTGGTGCCTGGCATCAAGCAAAGCAATCATGAACTTGTACACTAGATCACAGAAGGAAAAAAAGAGAACAAACTTGCTTTTAAGAATGGATAACTGCATCAACTGCACCATTACAATACTGCTATGCCACTTCTAAAGGACTGAAATATTGATTTCTCTTCTGTAGCAGTTATCAATTCTCTATGTAATTAATGAAAATGCCACATTTTTCACAGGCTTATCCCAAAAACCTCAACATGAAGACTTGGCATGACTATCTTCAGCAGAATTTCTTTAGATGTCTTTTTAAAAAGTCCCCTGATAACAAAACTTGAACTCATGCATTGATGTCTCATTCATTTTTGGCTTTTCAATTTTTTTTAAAAGTAAAAAGTATGTACTGTATTTTAATTAGGAGGAAATCACAGTGTTGTATGAAATGATATACCTGCCTTTGCAAATTCTGCTTAAGTTTAACTCTCCTTTTATGACCCTTGTTCAAGCATTCTCAAATAGAACTCTCTATGCAGATCATTTTAACAGCCATTTCTTTTAAGCAAACTCTAACAGGCAACGCTTAGTGAATATATAATTTGTGTTACTTTATGTAACCTGGGCTTTTCTAATGGGACAGGAACTCACCCTTTCGCTGTATAATAAAATTGCAGATTTCGTGGTTTTGAGAAAGATTACCAAAGACACGAATAGCCTCCAGAATTCCGTCCATATGACTGCTCATTAACATCTTTAAAAGCACTGTAAGTGAAAAATACACCGCACTTGATATACTTTTAAGGGATAAGTATCTTATTCCAAAAGCAGGGCAGATAAACATGTCTCCTAGAAGAGCAGATGAAGCAACAAGTGTACATCTTTATTTTAAGTTCTCAGAGTAGAAGGAAAAGTTGTTGCATCTTGCACCTCGGGCTAAAAGTGCCCCGACACCTACATATAAATACAATTTATACACTGGTATGCATAAATCAAGTTAACTTTGGTCAAATCTTAACACTAACAACAGGATATCAACATAGTGTAGAAGTAACATCCATAGTTAATGCAGAAACTGAAATTTAAAACATGCTTCAGCAAGACAATGTTCAAATCAACCCTATTTACAGAAAAGAAAGATTTTTGCCATCCTTCACAGTCCCCACAAATGAGTATTATTGAAAATCTATATGGAGAACTCAAATGTGTAGTTCATGCAAGAAGACCTAAAATATTTCTGATTTAGAAAAGTTCCCCATGGAAGAGTTCAAAAAGTGTTTCTTAGCGCATTACCAAAAATGTTTGAAAGCTGTTTTTTCTGCCAAAGGAGGTATTTCAAAATATCCACTGAAAAGGTATCCAAACTTTTGCATCTGCAATATTTACTGGTTCTTTTTAAAACTTCAAACCTGTACACTATGGCACACAAATAAGTGTGAACTTAAATTTGCAGAAAGATGTGTTTAACGTTGCAACATACAGAGGTTATGCCAGTTTATTTTTTATTTAGGGATTCAATGAAACATACAATTAGACCAGGACTGTATACATTTTGATATAACTATATATTGTTTGGGAAGCCTAGTTAGTGGAAGAACCAGGAAAAAAGCTATATAATATTTCTACATTCTGCTAAAACTGCCCTCACCACAGTTTCTTTCTCACTTTTAATCTCACCCTCGTAAAACATGACATTTCTCTTGCCTTTCTTCCTTACTTGCTGACAAACCTCCATTAATCTTACTGAATATCCAGACAATCCTGGCATTTTTCTTACTTAATCAGGAAGTTTATCTTTCCTCTAATTGCTAAATCTCTTGTAAACAAGACTCCAACTTTTAAAAAATACCAAGCATATCAGACATATGGTGTTTGCGCCCTTTCAAAAGACGCTGAACTGCAAGTTCTGTCAAACCCAGCCAGCACAGCCAATTGTGAGAGATGCTAGAAGAGTAATTCAGCAATATCTGCAAAGGCAGAAAATCCCTATTAACATATTGTGTCTGAAAATTTTGTTCAGTGAGTTCTCATCTAACATCTTTGAGTGACATGCAGTTCAGCTTTATTATGTGTTATATTTTTTTATCTATAGAGTCAAAGAATAATGCTTTACACTAATCAAGCCTTTGAAATGAGTTAGGAACAAAAACAAAAGACAAAACTAGTAAAAGGGGTAATATGCTAATCAACCAGTTTACCAAATCAACCTGTTCTTCTTTATAAGGCTAATCAATAAACTGGACCAGCCTTATCATTACAAAATTGTCTGAAAAAAATCATTAAATTAGATCAGCTCATTCAAATCCGTAATATTCATAAGCAATACTGAGCATTATAATGCAATAGACAGGCGAGAGAATTAACTTTTAAAATATTCTTACATTCTGCAATATGCAATTTCTTCTCTTGGATTACGGAATTCTTCACTTGATAAAAGGATAAATTGTTGATTGTTGCAATGGCATTAATAACCAGTTCCTCACATTCCTCAACCGACTTGCACTCTAGTGATTTAGAAGAGAAGACTTTAGCATTTTGTCATGATACTGATTATGAAGTTCATAACTTCAGTGATTCTAGTATAAAACGTTACACTGTCATACAATGAAGCCAAACAATCAACTGCTGTAATAAGGAACTGGCAACATTTCAATAAAATTCTGATGCTGAACTCAGTCTTTTTGTCTGAGGCCATTTCAAAGTGTGAAATCGTGTATATACAAATGGATGTATGTACACACTCATTTTATGAGACCCTTCATTGATAGATTGATTATGCGCCATCAAGTCAGCGTTGACTGTTAGTACCACATAGATTTTTTTTTCCCCCAGGAGAAACCCTTCATACTGACATCTGAATACATGATATGCCCAGCAAGAACCTTGGAAAGTTTTGAAAAAAGCAAAGAAAAAAATTTTGAAGACAAAATTCCTACCAATTCTCTTTTTCTAATTTCTGATATCAGCTAATAAAATTGATACCATGTCGATGACAATCACCATACATTTTAAAATGCACAGAATTAAAACTGAAAGAACTGTAGGAATGCTGTCCCAATTATAATGGCCTTTAAGGGCTACACGATTACGATGCAGCAAGGTGAATTGAAATCAATCCTTTAAAATGGCCAGTTTATACAATATACAGCTAACACATGTTTTGCAGGATGTGGATTGAAAAGCAGGACACTGAAAGAGCCAAAGAGCTTTCAGATAAAAGATAGATAGATATTGGTGAACTTTGAACTATGCATCTAGTTCTGCATTTCTAAACCTTCCAGCCTTTCCCAACTTGGTGCCCTCAAGTTATGTTAAATTTCAACTCCAAAATGACATGGCCACATCTGGATTATCCACTGGCCCTGCGTACCCAAGAACTTTTTTTAAAAATTGCTCCAGAAATTCCCGAATATAATGCAAATATATACTTATAGTTCGGGAAGGGGGAGGCGACAATTCTAAGCGTGTCTAGTGTTTTCAGAAAATGTACATTAATATCAGCCAAATGATTCTGACACTGATGATTTGTCTTCTACAGATTATATAGTCAAAAAGCAATCCTTACCAAGCACTGTAATAAGTAATGCCACAATGTGATGATTAGTTGCCAAACCTGCACCTACATTTGGGTGAATGGACAGATTGGCAATCACTCTTATCAGCTTGATGAGAATGTCTTCTGCTTCAGAAGGGTGTCTGAGATTCTTTATTTCGCCATCTTTCCACAGTTTATGATTAGGAACATTTTCACAGTACGTTTGGAAAAGTGCTATGAGTGTATCAATGCTTCCTTGCTCCTCAAAAAATTGTTCCCGGGCTCGATTGTTCTTTGCTGTTAAATTGCCAAGAATGAAAATGATACGGATAACTAAATCCTGAAATGGAATATAAGAAAGGAAATAATTTGCTGCAAATAAAACCATTTCCATTTCAATAAATAATTCAATAATGTTTGGGGAAAAATATCTAGTTCATTTCTGTTCATATTGAACAGAATATTCAATAAACAGTTCGTATTTAAAAGTGCAAAAGTGAAAGAATACATAATGCAACCTAGCATGAATCTTATTTATCTATCACACTTATATATACATATGGCATTAGACATTCCTTACAGGAGCATATACTCTCTAGCAATATTTTCAAAACATAATTTTTCACAATTCTAAGCACACATTTATAACACTGATTTCAGTAACAGATCTAAATCAAATCTGAACACACTACCCAACTACAAATTACAATGTTTATATAACCCAGTAATACTGTACAAGTATTTGTGTAAAAGCAACACAGGTTCAAAAACTGTCAATGAAAGAGTTATTTTATTGTGTATTATTGAGAATGGGGCTGCTGAAAATTTGGAAAACAGGAGATGGGAATTAATTTGCTTTTAGACTATCAATTCCTCCTTCTTCTAAACAAATACTTAGCAAAGAAAAACTTATTGTAATACTGATTCACTTTTATCTTTAAGACATAATCCTCTTCTATTATAATACGTAATATCAAAATAAAGATAGTAAGTTTTGAGCAATCCCTTTCTGCAAGGAAGAACATAATAGATGCATCAAGCAACCGATATATGAGAAAAATGAACTTCAAGATGCTCATTTTCTAATACTGTTAGAAATTACTGGCTACCTAATGAGAATTAGGGAGTATTAAACAATGATTAACAAGGCTTATTATTAATAACATATTTTCATCTCAGAAGTTTTATATCTGTATTTGCTCCAAACAACACTTACTAAGAACCTATTACTGACAAACTGAAACTCCTTCATTTTCCACATAAGAGGAGGATTAGGCCTTGCTGGTCAGCAGAGTCCTGTTATTCAGTTCACAGGACAGATATGAAGAGACACCATAGGATTGGAATAGGACTCCATATACCTGAATAAATATTACTACTCAGTTGAATTGAGCACATACTGTCACATGACCATTTAATAAAGTGTACTGATACACCCTAGAATAATCCATACTCTGCCTTGTGTGCATTAATACTCCTCTGCAGTAATTCATAGTAAAAGAGGGAGAAAGACTGCACTGTTATGGCATAGGCATCCAAAACAACAATAATAATAATTGTAGTTGTTAATTGCAAAGTCGTGTCCAACCCATCGCGACCCCATGGACAACATTCCTCCAGATCTTCCTGTCTTCTACCATCTTTTGGAGTCCATTTAAGTTCACGCCTACTGCTTCAGTGACTCCATCCAGCCACCTCGTTCTCTGTCGTCCCCTTCTATTGCCCTCAATCTTTCCCAAGATTAGGCCCTTCTCCAGTGAGTCCTTCCTTCTCATTAGGTGGCCAAAGTATTTGAGTTTCAACTTCAGGATCTGGCCTTCTAAAGAGCAGTCGGGGTTGATCTCTTCTAGGACTGACCGGTTTGAATGCCTTGCAGTCCAAGGGACTCGCAGGAGTCTTTTCCAGCACCATAGTTCAAAGGCCTCAATTCTTTGGCGCTCAGCCTTCCTTAAGGTCCAACTTTCACATCCATACATTGCAACTGGGAAAACCATGGCCTTGACTAAACGCACTTTTGTTGGCAGGGTTATGTCTCTGCTTTTTAGTATGCTGTCTAGATTTGCCATAGCTTTCCTCCCCAGGAGCAAGCGTCTTTTAATTTCTTGGCTGCAGTCCCCATCTAAGGTGATCTTGGAGCCCAGAAAAATAAAATCTGTCACTACCTCCATTTCTTCCCCATCTATTTGCCAGGAATTGAGAGGGCCGGATGCCATGATTTTGGTTTTCTTAATGTTGAGATTCAAGCCAACTTTTGCACTCTCCTCCTTCACCCGTATCAAGAGGCTCTTTAGTTCCTCTTCACTTTCTGCCATTAGAGTGGTATCATCTGCATATCTTAAATTGTTGACATTTCTCCCGGCAATCTTACTTCCAACTTTTGATTCATCTAGCCCTGCCTTTCTCATGATGTGCTCTGCATATAAGTTAAATAGGCAGGGCGACAGTATATAGCCTTGCCAGACTCCTTTCCCAATTTTGAACCAATCAGTGGTTCCGTGGCCAGTTCTTACTGTTGCTTCTTGACCCACATATAGGTTTCTCAGGAGACAAATAAGATGGTCTGGTACTCCCATCTCTTTAAGAACTTGCCACAATTTGTTGTGATCCACACAGTCAAAGGCTTTAGCATAGTCAATGAAGCAGAAGTAGATGTTTTTCTGGAACTCCCTAGCTTTCTCCATGATTCAGCGTATGTTGGCAATTTGATTTCTAGTTCCTCTGCCTCTTCGAAATCCTGCCTGTACTTCTGGTAGTTCTCGATCCACATACTGCTGGAGTCTAGCTTGTAGGATTTTAAGCATAACTTTACTAGCATGTGAAATGAGTGCAATGGTGCGATAGTTTGAACATTCTTTGGCATTGCCTTTCTTTGGAATTGGAATGTAAACTGACCTTTTTCAATCCTGTGGCCACTGTTGAATTTTCCAAATTTGCTGGCAAATTGAGTGTAGCACTTTTACTGCATCGTCTTTTAAGATTTTGAATAGCTCAGCTGGAATACTGTCACCTCCACTAGCTTTGTTGTTGCTCAGATTTCCTAAGGCCCATTTCACTTCACATTCTAGGATGTCTGGCTCATTGTGGTTATCTGGGACGTTAAGCTCGTTCTTGTATAGTTCTTTTGTGTAGTTTTGCCACTTCTTCTTAATCTCTTCTGTCTCTGTTAGGTCCCTGCCATTTTGCTCCTTTATCATGCCCATCTTTGCATGAAACGTTCCCTTCATATCTCCAATTTTCTTGAAGAGATCTCTGGTCCTCCCTATTCTGTTGTTTTCTTCAATTTTTTGCACTGTTCATTTAAGAATTGTATCCCAGTATTGCTTTTCTTATTCTTTTATTGACTATGAAGGCTACTCCATTTCTTCTGAGGGATTCTTGCCCACAGTAGTATACCTGATGGTCATCTGAGTTAAATTCACCCATTCCTGTCCATTTTAGTTCGCTGATTCCTAAGATGTCAATGTTCAGTCTTGTCATCTCTTGTTTGACTTCATCTAGCTTGCCTTGATTCATGGATCTTACATTCCAGATTCCTATGGAGAAAAAATCTTTACAGCATCGGACTTTCCTTTTACCACCAGATATATCCACAGCTGAGTGTCCTTTCGGCTTTGGCCCAGTTGCTTCATTCTTTCTGGCACTACTAGTACTAGCCCTCTGCTCTTTCCCAGTAGCATATTGGACACCTTCCGATCTGAGGGGCTCATCTTCCAGCGTCATATCTTTTTGCCTTTTAGTACTATCCATGGGGTTTTCATGGCAAAGATACTGGAGTGGGTTGCCATTTCCTTCTCCAGTGGATCACATTTTGTCAGAACTCTCTGCTATGACTTGTCTGTCCTGGGTGGCCCTGCATGGCATAGCTCATAGCTTCATTAAATTACGCAAGCCCCTTCGCCATGACAAGGCAGTAATCCATGAAGGGGAATAATAATAATAATAATAATAATAATAATAATAATAATAATAATAATAATAATAATAATAATAATAAAAAGGGTTTAGCATTAAGAGAGAAGTGTGTGTATTTTTGCATCAGTTTGCTTCCTGCCTTAGTCCCTGCAGATTTCTTGGCAAGGTTTTCCAGATGTGGTTTGCTTCTGCTTCATGCCTAAAGCGGGACTAGAACTCATGTCCTCCTTTTCTAACCTGATGCATTAACCATTGCACCAAACTGGCTCTTTTGGTATAAATTAGCACTTTAAAAATGGACACCGGTTAAAAAATATAGAGCTATGTTAATTTGTAATGAATTGGGATCTTCGCACAGCAACGCAGTCCACAGAAACGTTTAATCTGCTCTTATTATTTGAGAACATTTGCTTTAATGCAATCTTACTAGTCTAAAAATAATTCTCTTTTTCCTTTTATTGGTTGTTCTTGCATTCCATTTTTGGCTAAAAGGTTAAATATAGATGTTTCAGGACCAAGAAACTCCCAACCCCTTAAATCCGTAGATTCTCCTGTATTATTACGTCTCAGTAAGTAGAAGCCTTGTACTATCAACATCAGGGGTCTTCAAACTTGGCCCTTTGATGACTTGTGGACTTCAACTCCCAGAATTCCTCAGGCAGGCATGCTGGCTGAGGAGTTCTGGGAGTTGAAGTCCACAAGTCATAAAAGGGCCAAGTTTGAAGACCCCTGATCTACATCTACAGGCAGTCTTTGACTTACAACCAATAGCTTAGTTTAGTAACCATTCAAAGTTACGACACTAAAAAAAAGTGACTTGCAACCAGTTCTTGCACGTACAACAGCCATAGTTTCCCCATGGTGACACGTTCAGGTGCTTGACAATTGGCGTGTATTTACAAAGGTCACTGCATCCCGGGGTCATGTGATCGCCATCTGTGACTTTCCCAACTGGCTTCCAACGAGCAAAGTCAATGGGGGAAGCTAGATTGCCTTAATGGCCGTGTGATTCATTTAACAACTGTAGCAATCATTTAACGACCATGACAAAATAGGTCATAAAATAAAGTGCAACTCACTTAATAACCGTCTCGCTTAGCAGCAGAAATTCTGGTTCTCATCGTGGGTACAAGTCAAGGACTGTATTGAACCAGGGAGCTGTTTCTAAGTGCCTAAATGGCTGAAGGCATTCATTTCTATCTGGTAAATACACGTGAAATTTGTCTCTAAAAATGGACTAACATACATACAACGTAGGCGAATCAAAAGATTAAAATATATATAAAAAAACAGGAGATTAAAAAACTGACCTGCTTTGTTGGGTATTTGTTTAGCAGGGCTAAAAATAAGGCATAACATCTGGAGCAATCCGCCAAAGCTGTACAGCAGTCGTTGAAGGAAGAAAGTTTGCTGCATGTTTGAAGAAATAATATAGATGAGGTTTTCTTTTACAATTTCCAACTAAAATCCAAATATTTTGTTCTGTTTTTAAACATTACTCAAAATAAAAAGGCCAGCATTCTCTGTTTTTAGGCAGTTCAACAGAAGGAACAAGCAGCAATGACTTTGATGACTAAAAAGAAAATCAATTCCGTCACAGGCAGTAATGATAATCAAAAGCTTAATTTAAGTTTCTAGTCGAAAATGACCCCCAACCTCTCTACTGCTTCTTTGAGTCCCACTATGACTTCTTGCAGACAACACAAACATCTTCAAGCATTTCAACAAGGAAGACAAAGCAGCAACAGCAGCCAAGGATAATGCAGCAGCAAAAAAAACATGAGGCAGTACCAATAAAAGAGAATATTTATAGCTCAGGGTTGAAATAAAGCTCCTTGGTGCAACCTTAACTTGGTTGTTCTTTTGCAGATGTGTCATTACCCAAACTAGGCAACAGCATCAGTGTTCGGGTTGCACCAAGGACTCCACCTGCGGAAGTGGCTGCTGTAGAAGCAAAGGGGTATTTTTATGGGAAGGAAGAAAAGAGATAGCAGCAGCAGTGGAGGGAAAAACAAAGATGGCAAGCCCTGAGGCCCTCAGCTGATGGCAAAAAACCCCCCCAAAACCCTGAGTTTGATTAGACCAGTGGTTCTCAACCTTTTTAATGCCGCGACCCCCAACCAGTCGTAAGTCAAGGACTACCCAACCAGTTGTAAGTCGAAGACTACCCAACCGGTTGTAAGTCGAGGACTTTCCCTGCCTGGGAGCACCATGCATGCGTGGTGCCGCTCCCTGCGCCGGCCGAGGCATAGCTGGCAAGCGGCAGAGACGTAGCAGGCCGACCACCAGCTGGGCCACCAGCTGGCCCAGCCCAAGGGAGGTAAGGCACCGGCTGGGCCCCACGCGTGCCAGCAACCCTCCCTGCGCCCGCCGGCCTCCCACCCCTGGCCCTCTTTTACTTACATTTTTAGTAGTTGCTCAGCAGGGGGGGGTGGAAACTTCCAGACAGCTCGCCTTCGCTGCAGACAACTTGCAGCACCGTTTGCAGAATGGGACTTTTGGTGGGCTCAGCAGGGCAGAGACAGCCTGGACAATTCCTATTGGCTTTTGAAAGCCAATAGAATTAGACTCTATTCAAGAGATTCTATTCTATTGGCTTTCAAAAGCCAATAGAATAAAAGAGAGTAGCACAGCTAAGGAAAAGGGGGAAAAAATGGCGGACTGCGTTGTTTGGCGACCCCCGTGAAATGGTCATTCGACCCCAAATGGGGTCGCGACCCACAGGTTGAGAACCGCTGGATTAGACCATTTAACTATGGACTACTGAACAGAAGGGAGAAAAAGTCAGCCTATGACTATATCCAGTCTTAGATGCTGCCTGTTGCCATTGGCCACTGCTACAGATTTACAGATTTCCTCTTTAATATACTGGCATTCTTTTTTCTAAAGGATTCACACAAAGGATGGAATATAAGAAGTTCTCTGTGTTAGATAAGCAATGCCCCTATTTCATTCCTATGGGGTTTTTGATGACCTCTGCCTTAGAGCAGAGGTACATGGGGTACGTGGACATATACATACATCCATTCAACTGCATCCTCACATACAGAAACAGTAGTATTCAGCATAAGAGCTTTGGGGGAATAGGCGGAACTTAATTCCTTAATCCCTTCCCCATAAATCAACTCAAAATTAATACTACACCATATCTAATAGTGAAAGGCAACAATCTTTAAAAAAGACACTGGAAGGGATCTTATGCTCTTCACGCCTAATGATTTTGAGGCTGAATTTCTGTTTTGCTTGCGCTAAAGTCATTAAAAAATCTGCAATCTTGAGCACGGTTGCTATAAAGAAGGAGGAAGCCGTGAAGTTTCTTCCTCCCATCTTATAGCAAACCTGAGGCAGGTTACAGCATTAGAAGCAAGGAACAAGTAATCCGGTCCCCACCACACTTATCTGCTGGCTGGGTGAGGGCAGAAGTACTTACCCTCTTACAGAAACCACAAGTCAAAAAAAGAAAATATACCCAAGGGCGCCCAGCAGATTGTGGGTGGCCTGCTTGTGTTTAGATTGCAGAAGATTTGTGTTTTCTTATTCAAAAAGTAAGCCAATACAATCGTTCAGGAATTAAACAATATACTGATCCAAAGTATTTCAACAGACACATAACAGTATCTCCATGGAAGCAACAACTTTAACACATGATGAGGTGGGGTTACTGAAGAGGAAAAAAGATTCTACATGGTATTTTTTTTTTAAAAAAATAGTGGGGTTACCTGAATATTCTGGCCACATTGGTACACACATCCTTGTCACTCATGCGTTTCTCCAACGTGAGGCAGAGCTCTGGGATTGCTCCATACTCCAGGAATTTGCACCTTGACTGAAGTAAGTCTACCAAGTTCCGTAAAGTGGCAGTGAGCTGGACAAAATACATTTAAATATGAATTAAGCAAACACGGTAAACATAAATTTGATTAGGAGTACCGGATAGTTTGAGAAAATGTAACAAAATGTTGCATAACTTTCTCTGATGGCAGTTGTATGAAACTCAGTGGTATGAAAAAATTTAAAATAATATAGGTTATTTAAACTCCAAAATATGAAACAATGATACAGGCTTGATTATTAAAAACAGACCTACTTGTAAGTCACTTTTTATCTGAAAGAACTTTATTCATTGTTCGGAGCTGCTTGCTCTATTTTATCAAATTTATATAATTGTCCACCTTACAATACAAGGGACTCTCGGTGGAGTAGAAGAAATTTAAAAAACAATAGTCTACAAATAACAGCAACAATTATTATTATTGATAACATTAACAATTATAAAACACAGCTAAAACAAATCATGGCACAACCAGTTTTTGAGAGGCCTTTAAAAGTCAGGAGTGATGGGATCAACCTAACTCAGAAGAAGGGATATTCCACAATGCAGGTGACTTGGCTAAGAAGGTCCACTGCCTAGGACCCATCAAATGTAGCTCCCTAAATGACGGGTCCCACACTATGCCCTCTATCTTTGACGTATGTGTTATTCTTGTTTCACAACTGAACAGAGACCTACTAGGCTTCAGTTCATCTTTCTTTGAGCCAACTGACCCAAAACAAATCAAAATGTTCCTGTAAATCCCATCAGTTTCCATATCTCTTAACATGAAATCACCAGGATAAATTTGTTGTCTGAGTTCACACTGAGCCATTTTTTAATAAACCTAGAACTTCTTTGTATTATGAATTTATTGAAAAGAGAGTATTTTTCTCTAAAAACATAAAATTGGAATTTCAATTATTTATTTTGCATGTGCTGTCACATGTATTTTGATGCACAATTTTTACGTCATTAGGGCTATTGACAGTTGTCAAGACATAGTTATTTCTTTATATACGTTTACAAACAATTACCATTTAATTAGTAAAGATAGTAACAAATCTTTCAACATGATTTTAAACTTGAGGCTTCAGGTTATATGAGGTACTTATTGTAAGTCACTGAAGGCCCTGCTTATTTCTTAAAACATAAATCCTTTTGTTTGAACTGGCCCTTCCAATATAAGAACCTGAATAATAACATTCAAGATCGCTCAAATGAGAGGTTTTTTTATTATTTTAAACTTACATTTAACTGTTATTAAAATTCAGTAAATTGTTCCAATAACTGCAAGGGAATTCTCCTTCTCCACCATACAAGATATTAATTACAAATTTTGCTGTTTTGCCATTACATCCACTCTTGAATAGCAATAATTGTAACATTATCCTTTTATTTAGAAAAAAAATATTTCAAACAATATGGAACTTTTCACAAAACAGATCAGAGCTTGGGACTCTTTTCAAGTCTCATGTAAAGCTAAAGAGCTTTAAAAGGTGATATTGTCTTACATGAAGGGGGTGAGCAGTTTCTAAAAATAGTATTAAATAAACATTTACAGGAATCAGGACTCAATTTCAATATTTCATGATCAGCCTTATTAGAATAAGAGCATTCCCATCCCCCATTAGTCATAGATGGAACATACATCTTGTGTCTCTCTACTTCAATTATTTCTTTCTTAATTTGATGTCTTTTTTCCAAGGAATGTTACACAGACACAATACCATGAGCTACTGTGGTTGTTGCAACTTTTATCAGCAAGAAGTAACCATGCTGTCTTAATCTTAGACGAGAGGCACTATACCAGCAGTTCTCAACCTATGGGTCGCGACCCCATTTGGGGTCGATCGACCATTTCACGGGGGTCGCCAAGAAAGGCTGTCCGCCATTTTCCCCCCTTTTCCGGCAGGTGCCTTACCTCCCTTGGGCTGGGCCAGCTGGTGGCCCAGCCGGTGGTCGGCCTGCTCCGTCTCTGCCGCTTGCCAGCTACGCCTCGGCCGGCGCAGGGGGCGGCACCACGCATGCGCGGTGCTCCTGGGCAGGGAAAGTCATCGACTTATGACCGGTTGGGTAGTCCTCGACTTACGACCGATTTAGTCTTAAACTTATGACCGGTTTAGTCCTCGACTTACGACCGGTTGGGGGTCGCAGCATTAAAAAGGTTGAGAACCACTGCATTATACAAATATTTCACGTATAAAGTAAAATAAAACAGACAAATGCAAGGCCCACATTCAGCAAGTATACATCTAGATCAGGGTTCTCAACCTTGGCAACTTTAAGACTTGTGGACTTCAACTCTCAGAATTCCTCAGCCAGCAAAGCTGGCTGAGGAATTCTGGGAATTGATGTCCACAAGTCTTAAAATTGCCAAGGTTGAGAACCCCTGATCTAGAGCTACTGCACATGATAGAAACTAAGAGGAAGTCACAGAAAGATAGGATTGCCTTATTCACTATTCCTTTGATATGCAGTAAAGAATTCTCCAATAACGTCTAGTAATAATTTATCAGTTTCCAATAACGGTCCCTATAAATCAGAGGTGTCAAACTTGCCCCATCACGGGACGTGTTGTGACTTTTTTTGCATTGCCGGAGCTGGGGTGGGCACGGCCTCCACATGATGCAAACACCCCTGCTATAGATCATTCTGGAACGATTAAGTTACAGCGCCTGCTGCATCTAAGATTGCTTTAGCTAATTCAGAAAAGCTCACCAGGGTAGCACAAGGTTAGAACTGGAATAATATAGTTGAGTAGACTGAAAACTTGGAAAACATCTCAGAATAAAAGTAGTACCAAACCACTTCCACAATACTGTTAAGAAAAAAAAAACTTGGACGATCCACCAAGAGTCAAGCCTAGCAAGGGAACACCATTAGAAAGTTTGACACTTTTTTGTTGAAATAAATGAATAATTGAAATAAAAATGTAATTCTGACCTGGACCAAGAGATGTCCTGAGCTGGAAAATCGAGTATTATCTTCATTAATTTCATTAATCATTCTCATTATTTGCAGCAAGATTTCAATAGCTCCCTTGTTGACCATTTCATTAATGAGCCTCACATTGCCAGAAATAAATTTTATAGCACCAGTGCAATAAAGAAAAGCTTCAGTGTTTGTTTGCAAATCTTCAGTTCTCAGAATCTCAAGCAGAGAGTCTATGGAAAAAATCAACACAATGTGAAATTTCTCTGTGGTACACTTTTTTTTCTCTCCCCAGAATGAGATTTACTTCACCCAGGGCTTTTTTTTTCCTTTTCTTTTTTTTTAACGGAACTGTCAAATAAAATAATAACTTCTCTAACTAAGCTGCCCCAGAGTCACCATGAATGAGTTGGGCAGCCATATAATTTTCCAAACTAATTAATTAATAATCTACTGATTATTGCACACAAAATTACTATAGCATTTCTGATGTAGTAAGCAATATAAATCAGATCAAATAAATAAATAATTCTGCGTTGTTATTTATTTGCAGTACTTTGATATAAAGGCATTCAGTGGGACTGCAAAGACAGTTGCTCAAGATTAATTTACTAGCTGCCATCCCAATAATTCAGATAATGGATGAGAAATAGCTGAGGAAATTTATTGAAGGGAAGGAAGTTGCAACAGTGGAGCTTTCATTTATACAAACTATCTCTGGCTATTTTTTTCCATTGTAACTATGTGAACATATCCAAAATCCAAGGCCTGCATCGAAAGCTTTCCCAGGTCCAGGAAAGTTTTTGATGAGGACAAAGCAATGAAAATTTTTCTTTTGCAAATATAGCCCTCAATGATTGCAAGAAGGTCCTTTTTTAAAAAAGGAAATCAGCACACAATTTATTTTGCTTAAATGGAAGTCGCATATAATGAAAAGTCTTGGTCACAATAATAAAAATTATTGGAGGCTAATTATTTTTGATTACTAGTATGTACTAATCATATCTGTCTTATTTCAGCTAAAAAGTATCTTGTCTTTCTGATAGTAATAGACAGCTAGTTTTTACTTTTTGATTTAACTGCCTTACTTTAATTTAAAAACAAAGAGAAGATGTAACATAATATAGTACGTAAAAAGTAAAGACAAGTAAAAAACCTTAACTAAACGATCATTTAAATGTCTGATTAACAATAATCTGATCCAAAGTGTTACCATTTTCTTGTCCCAGAATTCCAGATGAAAGAATTGTGTGCAATATGTAAGCAAAGTATTAATTTGTCATGGAAATTAGGCTAAAAACTCAAGTTCCCTCCCATTCACCATTTAAATATGTCTTGCATCCCTTGATGCAGGAAGAATAATGTGATTTAGCCAAATCAGGTGGCAAGGAAGAAGGAGTCAAGCAATATCTAATTGGTTTTTGGAATACGTTACTTGGATTCCATGATGAAACAGAGATCAAAGTCTGGTGCTTAGTTTTCATTTCTATATATATACATATTTTTCTTGAATTCCAGCTGCAATTTTTATGTCTAGTTCCTACCCAGTAATAACATTTGTATTTCTGATTAGCTAATATTATCTTCATTAGCTTCAAAAACATTAACATGTTTAGGATAGGCAAAATAAGAAACAGGAAAAAAATTAACACCAAAATGCAGATTGAAATCATATTTATACTGAATATTTGGCAGTTTCATATTTCCCTGCACATAATAGCAGTAATATTATCTTTTCCACATTATAAAAGACATTCTACTGAGTCATAGGACAGCATATTTACCTACCCAGGATTTGGTCATTCTCCATAAGGGAATCATTTTTTTCACTTCTGCTGATTTTAAATACTAATTTGCAAACATTAAGCAGATTCTTCCCACTCACTTTCAGCTATAAGGAAGAATGGAAAAAGAGAATATACATTAAATAGCTGTATCTTATTTTTAGCTGTTCTTTTAAGAGTAGATATGCAACACAGCTCTCGCATTACAGTTAGCCCTTGACCACCATTCGTTTCGTGACCATTCAAAGTTACGACTGCACTGGAAAAAGTGACTTAGTACCCTTTTTCACATTTACCACTGCAATGTCCCCATGGTCATGTGATCAAAATTTGGGTGCTTGGCAACTACTTCCTATTTCTGTAGGGTCCCGAGGTCTTTTGTGACCTTTTCACAAGCAAACTAACTTAATAACTGCAGTGATTCACTTAATAACTGTGGTAAGAAAGGTCATAAAATGGAGCAAAATTCACTTAACAACTGTTTTGCTCAGCAACAGAAATTTTGGCCTCAAGTTTTGTGGTTGTAAGTCAAGGACTACCTGTATGTACAGGCTGTACTTAACTGAAACTAGAAACATTGGCAGCTTTATCATGGCTTTCAAACATATTCCAAAACAAGTACTCAAATAAGAGCTCCCATATCAAATTATCAATGTGTGAGAGCCATTTATCTGATCCAAGATTATTGGAGACAGAAAAATCTACATGAAAGGAAGTGAAAAAACATTAAATATGATTTTAGGGTCCTCCATTTATACACCAGCATTCAATATTAAATCATATAAAATAAAGCTTCCTATAACATCCAACATAACGGAATGTGATTTTAAAACTATCTGCAAGGTGCTGGTTAATATAATGACGTTAAACCGGTTTTCCATGTTATACGCATTTGGGTAATTCTAACTGAAATAGTCCTGCTTTAGACACTACATTACAGGAAGAAAAATGTAATTATTATTATTATCCAGACAGATATATTGTACATCCATATACATATACAGAATCTGAATTTCCTTGATGAATAGATTTTCCGTTCATTTGAATCCAGCATACCATTCTGAATATGTGAATGGGGAAGTTGTTGAAAGTAGGAAATTGTTAAAAACCTAGCAACAAGTTCTTATAAATTATTGCATAGCTACTAGGTAATGATTAAAGGGTCATGACAAATGTCTCAATTAACATTATAACAAACATACATTCAAATAAATTAAATACTATATCACCATGATATGATAGTAACTGTTGCCACCAATTTATAAAAATGTTATATACATTTTTGAATGGTTTAGGAGAGATACCATACACTATAATAATGAATATTTGTTTTCCTCTTGAACTTCTTCTGCTATTTCCTTGGTATTCAATCAATCAAGTAAGCCAGAGAACGTGGTTTATGACTTATTCTAGGATTCAAGTAAATGTATTCAAAAGAATGCATTTGTTGTTATACCTTGAAAGCAAAAACTCTCACAAAGTACAGCTGGTTTTTGACATACAATTTAATTCAAAAAAATTGACTAAAGTAAGCTGATGCTATTTTTATCTACTATTGTTTGCCATCACTTGGGCTGAAATTTTGTATTTATTTACTTGGAAGTAAACTCAGTTCTAAGTAGCCAAAGGAGGAGCTGCACTGTTAATGTCCTAGATTTCAAGTAAATCTAACTACAGAACAAAAGAAAATTAAATGTAATTTTAAAGAGCGTAAAGCCGAGTTCTGCAACCTCCTGCAAAAAACTGATTTAGTAGTTAAAGTTTAGTCACATTTCTCAGGGTATAACTAGCACTTTCACACAAGTATCATATAATCACATTCTGTAACAGGTATGACTTACACCCAGAATGATTTTTGCCAATTTCAAGCCAAGAGGATCTGAAGTAACATCAACTAATTTATATAACACTTTCAACAGTAAATTTCGCCTCTTGAATCTCTTGCCAAGCATATTTCCTTCTTCCAGTGTTTGATAAAGAATAGCACAGGCATCACAAAGTCTTTCTACATTGTTTTCTGTTTGATTTGAAAAAAGCAGAAGGTAAAATTAATGATCCAATATTTTAAAGAGAAAGGATTTTTTTTAACAAATACCACAAAATCTGCACTATCAACAAACACAGCTATTGTAAATTTTATGGACTCAACTGAAGGAGCAAAAACTAAATAAATAGCTTTTGGTTAGTGTCATTCTAATAGATGTTTATGTGACCATCCCTACCTTTCCCAGAAATAGCATGCATTTGTCTTCAACTAGCGGTAACTAGACACCAGACTACGGTCAGGTGTAACCTGCTAACATCCTTTTCATAGGCAATAATGTTTTCCCAGAAACATGGGATCAAAAATATGGGAGTTCTTTGGACTGATGTGAAGATGAGGGAACTGAAGGAGTGAAATGAATATATTACACCTGACAGATGCTTAGGGCATTAATTTCACCCCTTAAAATTCCTAAAACCATTTCCAAAACATGTCATGGCTCCTTTTTGAAAGGTGGCTTCAAATATGCCACTGAAAGACTACTGCAGATCTTGGGCTCCTCTCCCTGTTTCTTAAAACACTAATCTAAGCAAGCATCCTGTACAATGCCAAGATACAAAAACTGGAACACAGAATTAGTGTTGTATTTAGCACTGGCTTGTATTTGTTATGATTAGGAAAAAATACCCACAAATATGGTGGTCTCAACGTTTTCGTCTTTTAACTTCTAATATGGGATTTGTCATTCAAAACATCTAAAATGTACCAGGCAGCCCACTTTACTACATGTCATTAATATTTACAGATTCTTTGAAAGCTTATTGTATGTATTCTCAAAGGACTTTTAAACCTTGCAAATACATCTATATATCTCCATCCCACTTTGCCACCAGGAATATAGGCTATCTTGCCAGCAATGGAACTATTTAAAATTGGTAAGAAGAAAAATATTATTAGAAATAACGAATAGAATGAAGCCTTGAAAAGTCTAGTTTATGAAACCCAAACAAATATTACAGAACTATATTATTTACCAATCTCTAATATATGTAAAATTGGTAAAACTTTTGTTTTCCAATAGCTTTCTTCTTCTTCTTCCATTTCACTTGCTTCCAAATTATGTTCTGAAACATATATTATTGAAGAGATATATTAACAATGATTTTCAAACAGTCACACAACAAAACTTATGGCAAAACATTTAATAGACTGTAATTTGTTCTATAACAGTTTGTACCAATCGGGTAAAAAATAAATATTTCAACAGAAATTTCTTACTAATCTAACTTCAACAGTCTCTGTAATAAAAAGAAGAAAAACAGGAAACTTAAGCAAAGGCAGACAAGTTCAGAAGTTCCTTCTCTCGGTGGTTTATTGGTATAACCACAGCTTTGTATGCTGGTCACAAAAATGACACTGGTCTACATTTATTGGCTGCTGTTTTTAGCATGTAAAATCCAAGAGCCTTAGCAACACTGAGCTTCAGAGAACTGAATGTTAGTTATCTTAAAAATCTACCTACTGTTGCAGAAGAGAATTATTACAATTCTAATAAGTAGTAACTTGCTAGTTCTTTACTTGAATAAATTAACATTTTCTTTTGGTTCACAGAAATCTTTAATAAAAGCACAAAAAAGCTGAGGCACTGCAACATGCCTGGGAATACACAACAGATCAATCTGGAGAATTTAGCTTTGCCAAACATGATCTGGGCTCTCACGTCACAAAACCAATATCTATTTCCTTTCCTGCAATAAAATTACACATGTATGCATGCGTGCATGTACACAAACACACAAATGGCACTCATTTTTATTTACAAAATCATGTGCTATAAGTTTACATGGCTCTGTATGGCTTAAAATCTTTTCCTCTCCTTCTTTCCAAGTTGGTAAGAAATATAGCAGAGTGCCCGTATCAATCTTCTTGAAAGTCACAAATAATAAATAATAAAAATTACACGGGAAACAAAATGATATGTGCAAAATATTCCACGCACATTCCTGTGTATGGAATCGGCTGTACCAACTAGTCCGTTCCACACAAGTTTAGTCCAGAGACATACTCAGAATATGCACAGTAAGTTCTGGGCATGTTCCAGAGATAGTGAAAATGGGAAAACATAATGCCATTGGTTACAGCCAGATTGTGATTCCCCTAATACAGTCTAACTAAAACATCATCTGATAGCACATTTTCCACTTGATCTGGTACTCCACAAAATGGATATTAGATAATATGGAAAATGATACCAACTTTCACTTTCAAAGAGTTTCCACTTTCTGAAAGAATACAGAAAGGTAACAGGGATGCCTTCCATTCCAAACTCCCTCAAGTGCGCGCTCTCTCTCTCTCCCTCTCTCTCTCCCTCCCTCCCTCTCCCTCCCTCTCTCATTTCTCTCAGCTTGAATCTAGGGAAGGATACATAAGCAAGATCTTCACCACACCACCTCCAATTACACCAAGGAGCGCCATAGAAATAAATAACCTTTAAAATAGTAGAGGAGCTCTGCTTTAGAGAAATATTAATACATTCTGAAATCATTGGGCAGGACAGATTTCATGGATGCCCTTGTAAGTCAAGCTGGGGAGATAATAGACAAATTGAGGAGTGAACCAAACCATGGATGTCTACCTTGAGACAAAGAAAATCAATATGACCTACACTTCACCCATAAGTACTGTGTCTTTCCCCTTTCTTTCCTCCTTATTGTTGGTGCTCATGCTGTTCTCTATGAATGCTTAGTCCTACCAACTGGGCCATCTACAACTATGGGCAAAGCCATTATCCCACACCCACTGCCACTGCCACGATTTTTTGGAAAGACAAGCAGGCTTTGCTGGAGGAGGTGCTTTATTGCGTCTCTTCCCTGACTAACAAGACATTTCAGTGCAAGACAGAAAAAATAAATGGCTCCTACCCGGCTTCTTCCAACCAGTGTTTTTAGAGTTAGAAGACAGTCCAAATTTGACAATACAAGGTGATCATATCATGTACAGATGGGAAAGAGTTTACTAAAAACCAATGAATGCTAACTGAAGAGGAACATCAGAGGGAAGGTACTAAAATGCTCATGTAAATACGGTGGGTTTCCCATAACCCAGAAGTAAACAATTTAAGAGTAAAAGCTCACGGGGGCAGGGGAGCACTCTTTGGTACTTAAATCCAATTCAGTGAAAAACAAAAAATAATGAAATTAATAATAAAATACAACCCTGCAGATTCTACAAAATAAATTCAATTGTTGCTAATAAAACAACAGAATTGTGATGGTGTAATGCAAGTTTCTTCAAACCCTAGGGTTCCACAAAAGACTAAAGACAAATAAAAAAGGGTATCCATGGCAATTTTTCTGATATAACAGAAAGGGCCAGCTATATTAAAAAGCCCCTCCCTCCCCCGGGTTTGTGCTCAAGATGTCTTATTACTTTGTGTCTGTTTAAGAGGTAGGCAGGAAGGCTTCTGGGAATTCCTTTTTTTAACTAACCAAGGTGTATGTCTTAAAAACCTTTGAAAAACTCCAGAGGAATGGTTTCAATTTTGGAGCCGAACCAATGGACTATGGTTCAAGTCTACTTCTGCCATGGAAACACTTCAAGTCTATTTCTGCCATGAAAACACTTCTTGACTTTAAACCAGCAGGTCTCAACCTGTGGGTCGCAACCCCATTTGGGGTAGAACGACCATTTCACGGGGGTCGCCAAACAATGCAGTCCGCCATTTTTCCCCCCTTTTCCTTAGCTGTGCTACTCCCTTTTATTCTATTGGCTTTTGAAAGCCAATAGAATAGACTCTCTTGAATAGAGTCTAATTCTATTGGCTTTCAAAAGCCAATAGGAATTGTCCAGGCTGTCTCTGCCTGCTGAGCCCGCCAAAAGTCCCATTCTGCAAACGGTGCTGCAAGTTGTCTGCAGCGAAGGCGAGCTGTCTGGAAGTTTCTACCCCTCCCTGCTGAGCAACTACTAAAAATGTAAGTAAAAGAGGGCCAGGGGTGGGAGGTGGGAGGCCGGCGGGTGCAGGGAGGGTTGCTGGCACGCGTGAGGCCCGGCGGGTGCCTTACCTCCCTTGGGCTGGGCCAGCTGGTGGCCCAGCCGGTGGTCGGCCTGTGCCGTCGCTGCCCCTTGCCAGCTACGCCTTGGCGGGCGCAGGGGGTGGCACCACGCATGCGCAGTGCTCCCGGGCAGGGAAAGTCCTCGACTTATGACCGGTTGGGTAGTCCTCGACTTACGATCAGTTGGGTAGTCCTCGACTTACGACCGGTTGGGTAGTCCTCGACTTACGACCGGTTGGGGGGTCACGGCATTAAAAAGGTTGAGAACCACTGCTTTAAACCATTGGGTTTTCTCACCCCAATACATCCCCTAAGGACAAAAATTGCCATGTACAAATATACAAGCTCCTTATGGAACTTGGAAAGCAGTAGAATATGCTATTTGGTCTAAATGTTTATTGCTTCAAATTTGAACTATTGGTTTTAATGGGGTTTAGAAATGCATCAGTAGTCAGCACTGACAGCTTAATTTTCTACATTTGATCATCTCATCTGACCAAGTGAAATTTATGAACTATAAAAGCAGGCTGATATATAGCAGTCTTTGCGCATTTAATAATTTTCTCCTTAACTCATATTAATATTATAATTGGTAGCATTTCTTAGAAATGACATGTAAGCCATACTCAAAGATTTCCTTGACGACACTAGCACTGGGATCCCAGATTCTATATATAGTTGCATCTAGAGCAAGATTAAGTCTCATTTTAGCCACTTTCTCCACCTTAAAATCTCTAGACACTAGGGATGATAACTAATGATACTTTGTACATCCAAATTTCTAGATGACTAATCTCAAGAATTTCAGATAAATGTTAACAAACGTGAAGGATACAATGGAACTTCATATTATATTGTTTAATGATGTGGAATGGAATACAAGTCCCCAATATCACTTTGATATAATTTCTCAGCTAATGACTAGAATTTTTATAATACTACAATTTTTAAGTCGTCCACAGATAAACCACTGGGCGACACCGTATTCTTGTCATATTACGATGTAACAAGATTGATTCTATTCTGTAATAAATTTAAAACAAGATTATTCATTCTAGCACTGTTAGATTAATTCCAACACTTTGCCCCAAAATTATGCAATCAATTAGCAGAATTAAATCATCTTTTTTAATTAAACACTTTGTCTACAGGTTTCAAGGATCCCATTGTCTTTCATCCCATCTCTGCCAATTTCACGAAGCAATAAAAATCTAAGGATCAACCTTCCAATAATTTATACATGACTTACCATCATATATTAATTTTTGCTTATCCTGGACTCTTACCAAACAAAGTTATCTAAACCAGCAGAAATATAAACCTTATACAAAAAATGTCTAGTCAACCATAAGCTTTTAACTGCATGAAAAAAATTTCACTTGAAAAAGTATGAAAAGTGTTAGTCTTTATTACATGTGCAGCACTCATCCAGCATCTTCAACTGTCCAAAATATCAAGGAACCAACATCATTCTGTGACTGGGAAAAATGTTTGGGATGTTTTTTATTAAATTGTTCTCCTGCCTTTATTATTATAAGTAATTCACACCTGGAAACAGACCTAATACTCCTTTCTCCTCCTATTTTTCCCACAACAACAAACCTGAGAAGTAGATTTGAGTTAAGAGAGAATAACTAACCCAAAGTAACCCAGCTGGCTTTCATGCCTAAGGTAGAACTAGAACAGGGGTCTCCAAACTTGGCCCTTTTCTGATTTGTGTACTTCAACTCCCATGCCTGGCTGAGGAATTCTGGGAGTTGAAGTCCACAAGTCAGAAAAGGGCTAAGTTTTAAGACCCCTGAACTAGAACTTACAGTCTCTTGTTTCTAGGCCAGCATCTTAACCACTACATCAAATTGGCTCACCACACCAAATTCAAAGTGGACATTAAAACACCAGCAGTTTGATTTTTGTGAATGACACTCACAAAGCTAAAAATAAAGATTTTTAAAAGTTAACTAGGAAAGTATACACTGAAAATTAAAAATCCATATTAATGTAAGATATTAACAAAACCAATATTAACCAGTATGCTTAGCTATCATAACTGAGCATAAATATTGAACATAGAACATAATTGTTTTCCTGAGCTGAACAACATGCTAAAGAAATAAAGAAGAGAATATTTCTAGGAAAAAGCAATGACACTTTTATAAAATATCACGAAGACTAGGTATATTTTTATGCCAATACATAGCAGAATAATTAAAGCAATAACCATCTAGGAACTGAAAAAAGAATGAAAAAAAGTAAACATCTGAATCAAAGATATGAAGAATACCGCAAACTATAAAAAAAAAAAAACCCAATCAATCCATGCTGGAAGAAAGACTGACAGACTATTCCACTGAGGCAATAATTACCAAGTAGAAATTCAATCTTGGGCATGCAATGAGAGCTGAGAATGAAATGAGGATGAAACTAGATAAAACGACTAGATTGGTAAAGTTGAGAAACGTAGAAGACAGGAAGGCAAAGTGGATAGATGAAACCCTGGAATGTCCATAGAAAAACTGTGGAGCATCACCAGGAACAAATCAAGATGGAGGGTAATTGTCCATAGAATCTCCAGGAGTCAATGATATCCAACAACTGTACAAATGAGCTTGAGCAAGCCAAAGATCAGGAGAAAAAATAAATTATCATTTAATTTTATTTTATCAAATGTTTTGACAACATAATTCCTGCTTTATATGTTGTGACAAACAAGGACTTGTGATTAGGTTAAGTCAAAGTTTATTCTTCCTTTTGGACTCATGGGAAGAATACTTAAGACTGAAGCTTTGCTCTGGCTTGCCAAGACTCATTCATTTATCATTAAATTACAATTAAAAATTATATATGGGCTAAGTCTGTAACAATGTACCTGATTTAGTTGCAGATTTAGTCATTTCAGTATAGTCTGGATATGACAAAGGAGACTCTTGTGTATTAAACTGGTCACTAAAAAGGGGGGTAAAATTAGCAGTAATTTTTAAAAATGCCAAAAAGTCATCAAAATTATGAATACATATATAATATTTACTCTCACCTTTCACTCACTAAACTGGGAATGCATTTTAGTAAGTAGAGGGCACTTTTTAACACCTGGCCAAACTGTGCTACTAGATCTCTCTCTGCATCCAAACAATTTGGATTTCCTCAGGAACCAAAATTACACTACTACTACTACTACTACTACTACTACTACTACTACTACTACTAATAATAATAATAATAATAATAATAAAGTTGGAAGGGACATTGGAGATCATCTAATCCAACCCCTGCCCAGGCAGGAAACCCTATACCATTTTGGACAAATGGCTGTCTAGTCTCTTCTTAAAAACTTCCAAGTGTTGGCGCATTCACCACTTCTGGAGGCAGGTTATTTCACTGGTTAATTGTTCTAACTGTCAGGAAGTTTCTCCTTAGTTCTAGGTTGCTTCTCTCTTTGATTAGTTTCCATCCGTTGCTTCTTGTCCTGCCTTCAGGCGCTTTGGAAAATAGCTTGACTCCCTCTTCTTTGTGGCAGCCCCTGAGATATTGGAACACTGCTATCATGTCACCACTAGTCCGTCTCTTCATTAAACTAGACATACCGAATTCCAGCAACCGTTCCTTATATGCTTTAGCCTCCAGTCCCCTAATCACCTTCTTCTTCTCTCTCATATACTAATTGCTAAACAAACTGAGCAGGGATATTCATCAATATCTCTCATTCCATTGGTACAAATTATTTACCGTAACTTTTCATCAGCTGTTGTGACCAGCCGCTGCAAGTAACTTAATAACTTTCTGATAGATTAAGGAGTTTACACACTTCTGCAAACCAAAGAAATCTCCTGTAATCTAATTTGGTCAGAGGATGGCAACACTCATTACGGCGAACTGCAACTCACAATTAGATGATCAGTGCTCCCAAGAGGTTTGTTTTTAGCACACTCTATCCAAGAGTTGACACAGCACTAAGAATGAGTGGGCGGCAAACCACCTGTTTCTCAAGCAAAATTGTCTCACCACAACCAGTTTGGGGATTTCATCAGCCGGGAAAGGAGCAGGCGTCTGTTTGCTCTCTCCCTGGATAAGCTGAGGAAAGGAAATTGAGCCTCTATTTATATCCTCTGGCCAAAGTCTTGAAAGCAATACCCAATCCTCTATGCCACGTGTATTTTTTTTTAATTAACAAGGAATGTAAATGGGATAAAAGACAATGTATTTTACTTTCTCTTAGACTTCTACTTGTTTCCTTATATCCGAAATGAATGCTTCTTCTTTAATAAATGATTTAATATGAAACGCATTGGTTTCGTTTATTTACGTGACGCATTGAGTTTAACACAATTTTATACAGTGTTTTAAATTTAATCTACCCGTGTTGCAGTAAAAGAGTCATACCACAAGAGGTCATCATTACTGAACATAAAAAATGATGAGCTTCTGAGCCTGAGCAGATACAATCAGGTAAAGGCAAAACGTAAGCTACGGGATAACGAACAAAGCATGGAAACCTTAAATTCTATAAACACTAATACCCTAGTTCAGGGGTAGGCAACCTTGGCTCTTTTATGACTCGTGGACTTCAACTCCCAGAATTCCTGAGCCAGCCAGCCTACCCCTGTTCTAGTTGATCAGCAGTCAATATTAATGCAACATTTAGGTATTAACATTAGTCTTTAAAAGTTTTAAACTCTGTTCTTTTGTTTTTTTCACAAATAAGATATTTTCCAGTTTTACTTTGAAATGTATTAGAAAAGTGAAAAACCTATATGGCAGTGGTGGTGAACCTATGGCACGCGTGCCAGAGACGGCACTCAGAGACCTCTCTGTGGGCACACGCGCTGTGCCCCGGAGATGGCAACTGTCCCTCTTCAACCAGCCGCCTGCTAACTCGCTGAGGTCCCACATGGCCAGATGCATCCCAGCACGGCTGGTTTCCCTCCCCTCCGTCCCATCCCTCCTGGCCTCGCATGCTCTCCTTTTCCTGGGCACATCCCACTACATCGCCTCCTCAGCTGTCGGCTGTCCATCCAGCTCAGATGCAGCTTCTCTGAACTTCTGGTGGTGGGCTACGGAGCTCCAGAGTGCGCCGGTCGAGGGGCTGGCAGGCTGTGGCTGCTGATGGACACTGTCGGCCCCTATGCACTCGCTGGCCTCTGTGTGTGGGGGCCAATGGTGTCAGGCAGCAGCCGCCCAGGCCCCTACCTCACCTTGCCCTGCAACAATGGCACCCCTGCCCTGCCTCACCTTGCCTCCTGCCCACCATCCCACCTGCCAGAGACCCCCAACCATGCCCAGTCCCCACAGGCGTCCCTCACCACGAGCAACATCGAGGTGACCACACCCACCTTGGCCACACGCATTCTGTCTGCCATGACCACTACAGCCATGCCCACCCAGTGGGCCACGCCCACCTGGCACCCAGCGATAAATAAGTGGGTTTGGGGTTGCAGTTTGGGTACTCGGTCTCTAAAAGGTTCGCCATCACTGCTATATGGGGTCCCAATTCTACTTTCAGTCTTAAGCAAAACATTGTCATTAAAAAGGCATCTGATTTATCCTAGGAAGCTTGGAAATTAGAATAATTTATCTCTATTATGGAAAAGGAAATTCTTAATTTTAAAATTTTTATTTCTAAATCTATTTAAAACTATTCATTAGGAGCTATGTTACTATTTCATGGGAACTGCTTAAATAAGCAACATTTATCACCTACACATCTATGAAATTATAAAATAGTTCTTAAGAGTTGGTTAAATATTAATGCTTCAAATATTATTGTATTCTAGGGAATGGAGCAATAGGGGAGAAAACTAACATGTGCAGAAGGCACTAACATTATATGAATTATTTTAGCTATATCCTAAGGATATTATCTGAAATAGACATATTTAAAATTAGAGGTGATCTTGTATCATTTAACCTAGTCTACCTACCACTGTAAATTCTACATTTAAAAGGACATGGACCTAAGGTTTCGTGCATTACTGATACAATTAATATTGTCAGTGAATTAAACTAAACCAATTGTGGCATTTAAACAAGCAGCTTAAAAAGAATAAGGAAAGGTGAAAATACATTGTCAGAGATTAATTAAGTTAGGTATAGGTAGCTGCAACAAACTGACATTAATAATTCTACAATGTAAAATACAAAAGTATAGAACAAATGAGTAAATTTAACTTATCAGTCTGCAGAAGGTTTAGTCTTAGCAATTATAAAGAAGAGTATATGCCAATCCTCTTGCAATCAAATATTCACTTGAGTAGTAAAACTAATTCTCAGTTCAGTTTCTATATACAATGAATAAAAACAATTTTTTGAATATTCTGAACTTTTTTGCACACTATGGCATTTAAATTTTTTTTAAAGCATATAATGAAATGATCTAGATCCAACTCAGGCCTCAATCCTATGCATTTGCTCAGAAAGAACAGAGATACGAGTGGTCCTAGAATCAACACTATAATTCTACACTCTGAAATAACCTCAGTGTAGGCTGGGGAGCAGGGGGCAGTAGCTATTACTAGCTTCAATTGGTATATCAATTAGTTTGTCCTTTCCTGAACACAGCTACTAATGATGTCCATGTTCTGATAATTTCGAACTTAAACAGCTATAACCTATTCTATATATGGTTACTCTTGTAATTGGGGCAGAAGCTAAAGCTACAGCTACAATGGAGCAATTGGGTATTTATATATAACAGTTCTGCTGAAATAACTACAGTAGCTTCTAAAGCCAGATTCAAAACTTTGCTTTTGACATATAAGAACCTAACCAAGTTGGGACTAGATGGCCCAACCATACTGATCCGGACATTAATTGAGAGCCTAGAACAGGGGTCCCCAACCCCCGGTCTGTGGACCGGAAATGGTCCACAGCATGCCAGCAACAGGGCCGCACAAACAAGCAAAGCCCCGTCCATAGGATGCAGGCAGCACACAAAACCATGCACCCTCCGGTCCGCAAAAAAACCTCTCCCCACAGAACCAGTCCCTGGTGCCCAAAAGGTTAGGGACCTCTGGTCTACAAACTCACTTCTAGTTGTTTGTTTATATTCCTGACCTGCCTATAATTACATCTTCCCTTGATCTTGGCCTCTTCCATATGGAGGAAGTTTTTTTCCTGTTTATTTTTTTCTGTAAGTTGGGTTGTTTTTTTTTTAAAAAAAAAAACCTGTTCTTAATTTATTGCTTTTAATTCTTATTGTATATTTTGAAAGTAACTTAGAATTGTTTTTGCATAGGAAGCTGTATATAAAATTATTTATCTATCTCTTTGTTATTTGTTTATATTTCAAATTCTAGGCCAACTTCAACTCTGGACAACTTAATACAGAAAAACAGTAAAATTTCAAATAAAACTCTAAAGTACATGTTATCCAGGAGGAGGAGGTGTAGCTAACTCTCAACCCCACTCACAGAGATTAAAAATAGGTAACACCCCACTCCAATCCTGCTTTACCCTAACCTAATCAGTCCTATGGAAATGTGTTTTTAACGCACTTTTAAAGCTGGCAAGTTGGGAGTCCTGCAAATCTCTGGAGGAATGCTGTTCCAAGACAATATAGGTGGAGAAAATGGTACAAGTTAAAAATACAATACTGACCTTTGCCTGCTGAATTGGACTGGAAATGGTATGTTTCTCATTTGTGGGAAAAATTCTTCTCCTGCTATCTTATTATGAGGATCTATGTAAGTTAGTGGAAGACAGGCATCCCTGGCGCTCAACTGGATAGGCAGCTTTTGTGAAAAACTTTCATGATCACTCCTTGGGATAAATTGCTGATCAAAATACAGCCTCTTACCTGTAATTAAACAAAACTTGCAGTATTCTCACTAGTCAGGGGTATAGGCAACCTTGGCTCTTTTATGACTCATGGACCAGCTATGCTGGCTCAGGAATTGTGGGAGTTGAAGTCCACGAGTCATAAAAGAGCCAAGATTGCCTACCCCTGTACTAGGAAAGCCTGCGGAAAGATAGCTTTTAAGATTGAAAAAAAAATCTATTCAAGAAGTACAATTTTTCACGTATTTGCTGTTTTTTGCTAACTGCAACTGAACAACTACTAGCAGTCTTCAACCTGACAACCATAATGGAGTCGGCCCGTCATGCTCATAAATCATGAAATCCACATGGCTGACCCAATTTTAAGACCTTTCGGTGGTGGTCATTAAATGTACGCTGCCATTGTTAAGCAAGCCAATGATTCACCACAGGCTGGTTTTGCCAAAAGACAGAAGTAAATCCTGGTTCTTGGCAAAACTACATTATAAAACACAGTCACATGACCAAGGGATGCTGCAACTGGCTGTAAATGTGGGCAGAGAATCCAACATGTGGTCATGTGACTGGGGGGAGGGGAAGAGATACCATCAGAACATTGAAACTGGGTTGTGAATACCTCCACGAAAGTATGTTATAACTTTGAACAGTTGTACGTCCAGGACTACCTGTATACTGTACCTTTATAAAAAAATACAGGTGATTGGTTTGCCTTGCATCAAATATTTTTCTAAAGAAATATAAATGTTTAAAATGTTTGTAAAAGTCCTTTAACAAAATTTCAACTGTGCAAAACCTCTTGAAGAAGCTTGTCTTTCTTCCAGCAAGAGCATTTACTAGACCAGTGATGGCAAACCTTTTAGAGACCGAGTGCCGAAACTGCAACCCAAAACCCACTTATGCATCGTCAGGTGCCGGATGGGTGTGGCCCATTGGCTGGGTGTGGCCAATTGGGGGTGTGTGGCTCATTGGGTGGGCATGGCTGCGGCGGTAACGGCAGACTGGGTGGGACTAAAAAGTTCAATCAATTCCAACTTTGCAACATCTTTTTTTTCCTGCAAGAAGTTGAAATTGACTGATTGATTGAACCTTTTTTTTTTTTTTTTGCACACGGCAGCAGAGGCCTAAAGCGAAAAGGTTTTATAAAACCCAGCTGAAGGCCTAGGAGTGGGGCAATGGCATGCGTGCCCACAGAGAGGGCTCTGAGTGCCGCCTCTGGCACCTATGCCATAGGTTCACCACCACTGTACTAGACTGAAAGCATAATGGACCGATGGCTGATTTAAAGTTCAAACTACTATACAGAGGTTATAATATCATACATACATCATTACCTAAGACTGAATCTCACTAAATTGAAAGGTACTTACTTCTAAGGTGGAAATACATATAGGGTTGCATTGACTAAATCTGAAATAGGTTTATTGATAGAAGAATGACATTTAGATTCACATTCAAAGGCTATCTTCATTATTTTAAAAAGTGTTAAAATACTGCTATAGAAAGAACTATGGATTAGTATTCTTACAGTCATTGGGAAGAAATAGTTTATCTGGAAGTAGATTTCCACAGGAAACAGTTTTGGACAACCTTGAGCGAGCATTGCTGACTTTTCTAATCTCCGCTGAATCCACTGGTGGTAAAGGTGAGGAAACGCAATAGTCTTCATAATTAGAGGCTGATGACAATAATTTTGGCTTCTGTTATAAAACAAAATTTAATTTAGCATACGAACAATTCAACCACAAGAGTACAAATTCCTAATTCCTTAGAAGATATTCTCACAAAGGTTTACACTGAATACGACAGAATTTGAAACAAAACTAAAAAAGATTGTATTGCGTAAATTTTGTAAAAACATTAGTCACGTTATTAATTACCAACAGGCAGAGCTATTTTTCCAGTTTTGAGATTTTTTGCAAGCATTTCTTAAATCACTTGCATGATATATGCCGCAGTCCCATTATATTGGGTAAAATTGACAACATGTGCCAATGCACACAGAATTCACTTTTTCAAGCACTTCAGTTTATAAAACAAAATCCTAGCATTTATGAATGCAAATGATATGGGAAATGCTTGTTAAAAAAAATCTCAGAACCAGAAAAATAGCAATTGATTTTCAGCAGAAGGTGGGATCACAACTCAAGACTTAAGTACTCTATAACTAAGCCTTCTATTGATTGCAACCTGCAAAAATGCAAGAACCAACATTTTTTCCTTCTGAGCTGGAGCTATCTTCTTGACCCTCATGCTTGAATCATATAATTAACAAAAGGTGCAGTTGCTCTTTGAATCAAAAGAATGGAGCTCAGTTTTTTTTACCTTGAACAAGAGGGTACTTTAGCCGACCATCACTGGGGAAGCCAACGGCCACAGAAAAGGTATGCTACATCTTTTATAGCGAGTGACAGCTAAGGGCTCTATTTTATCCTAGATATGAACTATCTGGTTGCTATAGGCCAGGGGTAGGCAACCTTGGCTCTTTTATGACTTCTGGACTTCAACTCCCAGAATTCCTGAGCCAGCATGGGAGTTGAAGTTCACAAGTCATAAAAGAGCCAAGGTTGCCTACCTGTGCTATAGGCTAATGCTAGAACACATTTTTCTGTTCTCAAATTGCAAATTCACTCTATTGTTCTGAAGTTACAATGTATATTTGCCCCTCCTGTGACCTGAATACCTTCCCCTTGATGCATACCCCCAGCCAGGTCACAATCTTGAGCAGATGACAAAATCCCCAGTGGAATATGGCAGTAGGTTTAAGCATCAAGCTGCATAATCTCTACAAATTGCAGGTTTTCTTAGTGTCAAGATTTAATTGGACACAGAGTATACAAGCATTGCCAAAAATAAATACGCACATGGTCCAGTGGGCTGAGGCGTGCACAAGAGGCAGGTCTTGACTCAACTGACTCAAAGCTAGAAGAGTGGAGACTAGAAGGAAAAACAAATCATAATAATCAATGTGTACACAGCTGTTTATGTGTTTTTCACCACAAGATTTCCTTCTGTGTGTCACTAATGCAGTGAAAATATTTTTACTGCCAAATTGCTCAATTTACTTCAAACTTCTTTCTTGGAATAATATGTAAAGGATAAAAATGCTTTGTTATAAAGAAAAATAAAAGTTTTTGTTTTATCTCATAGATTCCTAGCTGGTGAATTCAGTGGAAGAATTAACCCTGTTATTGTTTTGTGCCCTTCTGTATGTGGTGGTAAATAATTACAGTGGTTAGCCATTCAGTGACAAAGCTTCTCCTATATAAACAATTGTTTCTGGAATCACAAAACCAACAAAAAAAAGAGAGAGTTTTAGCCAGTATATTTCAGCAGCTTTAGCTTCCTATACACCAGTGGTTCTCAACCTGTGGGTCGGGACCCCATTTGGGGTCGAACGACCATTTCACGGGGGTCGCCAAACAACACAGTCCGCCCTTTTTTCCTCCTTTTCCTTAGCTGTGCTATTCCCTTTTATTCTATTGGCTTTTGAAAGCCAATAGAATAGACTCTCTTGAATAGAGTCTAATTCTATTGGCTTTCAAAAGCCAATAGGAATTGTCCAGGCTGTCTCTGCCCTGCTGAGCCCGCCAAAAGTCCCATTCTGCAAACGGTGCTGCATCAGTTGAATAGTCCTCGACTTACGACCGGTTGAGTAGTCCTTGACTTACGACCGGTTGGGGGTTGTGGCATCAAAAAGGTTGAGAACCACTGCTATACACAAAACCTAGTAACGGTTTTGGGTTGGAATTTTCATTTTAGAAGTGAGTAACTTTAAATATTTCTGGAGGACCTATGTCATAATAAGATATGGACTACTGCATAATTGGTCTTTTATTTCTTGAATTGAGAATGATGAGAAGTATTCAAGTAGGTTTCAAGCCTACATATTCAGTATGAAAAAGGTGTCCCCCCCCTTTTTTTTTTTCATACCTAAAAGCAGAAGGTGGTCTATTTTCAGGTGTCCTTGAAGAGGTAGAACCAAAAAGTTTCCTTCGCTCATCTCTTGGTGTAAATGGCCTCTGAGTTCTTAAAGTCCTTAATGTACTTCGTGCTTCATTTATGATCTCAGCACTAGTCTTTTGGACAGGTAATAAAGATTTATAGAATGCTTCTGAATAGTCTAGATTTTTGTTCTTTGAAGACTGCATATTGCTGCACAGAAAAAGAAATAAAATATTTAAGACAGGATTATTTCCCACGTAATTTTTTAGAATTCAGATTACATGGTAATGTACATCTAATCCTTGTAGTTCCTAGTATACTGGCCATTAGTCCATGCTGCTTAGCCATCTGTCTGCACTGCAGATTAGCATAATCAGTCTAGTCTATACATAAGCAAAAACCATATTATGACAGGATTTTCCAATACAGTACTCTAATCTACTGTATATACTTTTATGATATATAACATAGCTTCCAACTGTAGTGAATATCCTTCAGCAAGAAATTAACAAGCACACATAAAACATATAGACCACAATAAATACATAGTCATTTCTGACAAATACTAAGCACATAGAGCTTATAAAACAAAAATGGACCCTGGCAGGTTCACAGCTGAACATCAAGACAATCAGCCTATTAGTTAACTAGAACCCTAAGCTATTCAAAGCTTTAAAGCTTAAGACCAACATTTAGAATTAAATCTGGAAAACAACAAGCAAATGGAATCAGTGAAGATTTCATACTGGAATTAAAAACACAATATTTATTAACAAGCATAATTGTTGCATTTTGCAGCAACCTATGGAATTTTGTTCCAATCTCTGGAAACTATTCAATAGTAGAGCTAATTTAAATAGTCTTAAATATGATCTAATCGAAATATAGAAAACTTGCCAGATCAGATTCCAAGGTTCCCCACTAATGCTAATTACAGCATTATGGATTTTTAAAGTCTAATTTAAATATCTTTATGTTGCCTAACTTCAGGTCTTGTTTCTGAAAAATTCTAGGCTTTCCTTTCTGTTCTCTTATATTGATGCTTTATGCGAAAAAAACATTTTGATACTTGCTGCTTTGCACTTATCAGTGGAAGAACTGGGCCAAGCAGGACAGAGTTAATAAGACAGAAACACAACAGAAGGATACGCCTTAGAAGTCCAAGTAAGAAATAATGACTGTACATCTAAAGTTTGATAAACGTTTTACGAGTAGCAAAGCAGAATGTCATCCTAACTCCTCTGAAAACGTAATACCCCCAAAATAAATGTGATAGATCACAGACCTACAGTACCAGAAGGTGCAATCAAACCAGCATATCCACTCTCTCTCCATGTTATTATACAAAGTTTACAGACTATCTGAACTGTTCAGAGACACAGTTTTTCAACCTGCATAAAGAACAGAAATTGTTCCAGCTAATACAAAGCTTCTTCTGTTACTGGAGCTACAATTATTCTTGCCCTACTTAATGACAAAAAACCCACGCAGAAGTATAAGAAGCATGGGCAAATCTTTTTACAAAGATGAAAGATACACAAAAGCCACTCACTGAAAAGTGTCTCTGTTACATGCTCTCACAGCCAAACACGATAATTCTCCAAGCTGAAAGAAAATTACACTGATATCCTTTATAAAAGCACTCACTTATTAGTTTATATTTTAGTGAGTGATGCAATAATGATATTTTAGCAGGATCTGAACGATAAAGAGAAAAAATCTAGTTTCAAAAGAAAGAAGGCAACCCTATATGTGCTATTAAACAGAAAACAAGCATTGCTGATTAGTATTTAAATACTAGTATTCTAACATTATATTAGAATAAACAATCAATTTTAAAAAGAACTACTGTATGTTCCCTTTCAGTACCTATCTATCTATCTATCTATCTATCTATCTATCTATCTATCTATCTATCTATCTATCTATCTATCTATCTATATTTAAAGTCAATCAGATAAAAATAAAGAGCTCTGGGATATAAGGTAAAAGGCTTTCTTTATTAATTGCTGAGCTTTCATTAACAATCTGTTAACATCATCAGAGTAATGAGAAGGAGGGAGTATGTGCATAAATTTACATAACAGTTAAACAAGGGTTGCATTGAGGCATGTGCACATAGCATGCTTAAGAAGCTCTTAAAGGCATAAAGCAGTCAGTCTCAAGACCATTTTCAAAAGTCGCACTTGTCAGCTGTTTGGCACATAGATCCAGCGCACCTATCAGCTGTTCGGTGCAAGGTTCTTAGGGCTTCGTGCTCAGTCTTGTGCTGGCTGGATTCCTTCTGTGAGGTGCAACTTGGGGGTTCGTTTCGCTCTATCGCGTGCAGGAACTGCGGGATTGGATCTGTACGGAGAGAAAGCAAATGCCCTCGTGGGGCATGTGAATGATTTGCCTGCCCTCGCTCCCCTTTTTTAGGAAGCTGTGAAATCGTCTCTGTTAAAGATTTTAGATTTTGCTGTTTCTTTTTTTTTTTTTAAATCTACCCAAAACAAATCCCTTTAAGGATGTCTGCCGAGACAGTCTCAGAGGTTTGCAGAGGTAGGGCTAGGTATATGGCGGTGACAGGTGGTGCTGAAGGCATGGTCATAGGTGCCATTGGATCATGAATTGCAGATCTTGCATGAATAAACTCAACTTTCTCAGAGATCTTCCCAAGAATCTTTGTGTTCATGTTCACAGCCTGGAGGACTGCAGATATTCCTTCATCTGTGTTTGCTTTTGTTTGCTTTGGGAGGGCTTCAAGGAAACTAAGGATCTTGTCGACTTTGTTCTCAAGTCTGATCATTGTTGTCTGGAGAGCACCAACATCCAATGACAGTTGTAGGAGATCCGCCTGCAGTGATGTAATTGCAGAGCTGTCAAATGAAGCAACTTGCTCAAACAACTCATCAGTCAATAGCTGTTCCTTGCCTGTTCGGATCTCCAGATCGAGAATTGTTTCCATGTCCCTTCGCACTATTGCCTGAGCGAGTGTGTCTACATTCCCCGATAGTAAGTCCATCGGTAGTTTCTTCTGAATTGGAGACCTGTCCCTTATCAGTGGTTGTTTCTTCTTCAGGATGGTTTTCTTCGCCTTTGCCCTTGCAATCTCCAGATCCCTCAAGTTGATATCTAAAGAGAAAGCATATCTTCTCAGCATATGCAAACAAAATAACTACCCACCAAGTTTCATTAAACGTTGCTGCAAAGATAAGACACCACACTCAAACTACAATGCTCCAACTAATACAACTTGGGTAACAATCCCATACATCAATGGAGTCTCAGAAGCAACTGCCAGGATCCTTGCCCCATACAATATCAACATAGCACACAAACCCAGTCAAACGATACATTACCAGTTGATGCGACCCAAAGAACCATTACCAACCAGTGATTTGTCCTCCATTGTATACAAGATCAACTGCAACATATGCCAATGTAACTACATTGGAGAAAAATCAAAAAGACTTAAAACCAGAATACATGAGCATATTTTGGCAGTAAGAAAACAAGAACAACACTCCCAAGTCTGGACCCATATAGCTGAGCATGGCCACACTTTCAACTTTAAAGGAGCAGAAGTCATTGCTCATGATTCCACCAAAGGAGACCATCTTTTAAAAGAAGATTGGTTTTCAGACTGTCATTCTATTAAGAGACACATAGACCTATTACCCCCTTACCAAACCCTAAAAAGACATTTACAAAAACGTAAAATACCTAAACACTTCAATTCAACCAATAATAACACAAAAACAACACCCCACCCACTTATCAAACCCCAAACCAACACAATAGATATCCTTTCTACAACACAATCCTTTTCATCAAACCTAAGTAAAGAATATAACTCTAACACAGTGATCCTCAACCTTTCTAATGCCGTGACCCCATAATACAGTTCCCCATGTTGTGGTGACCCCCAAGTGGGTGTGGCCACCAATAAGAGGGAGTAGGACAGCTAGGGAAAAGGGAAAAAAATGGCGGACAGCATGGTTTGGCGACCCCTGTGAAAGGGTCATTTGACCCCAAATGGGGTCCCGACCCACAGGTTGAGAACCACCGCTCTAACACAACCATGACAACTCACACAACCAACACACCACGTTCTGATATTCTCACACACAGAAACAACAACCCCCCTGACCACAACATTCAGGACACAAACATCCAAAACACAAATCTTGCAACCTCACAAGACACTCACATACAACAAAACATACACACACAACACCTAAGTAACAACAGAATATTAAGACCAAGACCAAAACTCCCCCCTGCAATGAAATATGACTTATCACATTCAATGGATCAAAATATTACAGTCCAATTCCCAAACACCACAAAACCACCCACAACTAATAAGCATAACAAACAATCACACACAAACATTCCAAAGGACTCTACCCAATGAAAACACACACACAGCAACCCTACACCAAAAAAACTATGCAATCCAAGAGGCTAGCTTCTTTAACAGAGACGATTTCACAGCTTCCTAAAAAAGGGGAGCGAGGGCAGGCAAATCATTCACAAGCCCCACGAGGGCATCTACTTTCTCTCCCTACAGATCCAATCCCGCAGTTCCTGCACGCGATAGAGCAAAATGAACCCCCAAGCTGCACCTCACAGAAGGAATCCAGCCGGCACAAGACTGAGCACGAAGCCCTAAGAACCTCGCGCTGAACAGCTGATAGGCGCACTGGATCTACGTGCCAAACAGCTCACAAGCACGACTTTTGAAAATGGTCTTGAGACTGACTGCCACCAATTGTGCAAGTTCTCCCACTTAAAAAGATGAGAGAGGCCTGTAATTGTCATCATAGGTAGACTTCAACTATGAGAGACAAAATGAGAAAACAAATCCAGACAATCACATTGTTTGATTTGGAAAGAATTTATTTGCAAATTATGGTGGAAAATAAGTATGTGGTCAATATCAAAAGTTCATCTCAATACTTTGTTATATATCCTTTGTTGGCAATGTCAGAGGTCAAACATTTTCTGTAAGTCTTCACAAGGTTGGCACACACTGTTGCTGGTATGTTGGCCCATTCCTCCATGCAGATCTCCTCTAGAGCAGTGATGTTTTGGGGCTGTCGCTGGGCAACACGGACTTTCAACTCCCTCCAAAGGTTTTCTGTGGGGTTGAGATATGGAGACTGGCTAGGCCACTCCAGGACCTTGAAATGCTTCTTACGAAGCCACTCCTTCGTTGCCCGGGCGGTGTGTATGGGGTCATTGTCATGCTGAAAGACCCAGCCACGTTTCATCTTCAATGCCCTTGCTGATGGAAGGAGGTTTGCACTCAAAATCTCACGATACATGGCCCCATTCATTCTTTCCTGTACACAGATCACTCGTCCTGGTCCCTTTGCAGAGAAACAGCCCCAAAGCATGATGTTGCCACCCCCATGCTTCACAGTAGGTATGGTGTTCTTTGGATGCAACTCAGCATTCTCTCTCCTCCAAACACAGCGAGTTGTTTTTCTACCAAACAGTTCTACTTTGGTTTCATCTGACCATATGACATTCTCCCAGTCCTCTTCTGGATCATCCAAATGCTCTCTAGCAAACTTCACACGGGCCCGGCTTAAGCAGGGGGACACGTCTGGCACTGCAGGATCTGAGTCCCTGGCGGCGTAGTGTGTTACTGATGGTTGCTTTTGTTACGTTGGTCCCAGCTCTCTGCAGGTCATTCACTAGGTCTCCCCATGTGGTTCTGGGATTTTTGCTCACCGTTCTTGTGATCATGTTGACCCCACAGGGTGAGATCTTGCGTGGAGCCCCAGATCGAGGGAGATTATCAGTGGTCTTGTATGTCTTCCATTTTCTACTTATTGCTCCCACAGTTGATTTCTTCACACCAAGCTGCTTGCCTATTGCAGATTCAGTCTTCCCAGCCTGGTGCAGGTCTACAATTTTGTTTCTGGTGTCCTTCGACAGCTCTTTGTTCTTCACCATAGTGGAGTTTGGAGTGTGACTGTTTGAGGTTGTGGACAGGTGTCTTTTATACTGATAACAAGTTCAAACAGGTGCCATTAATATAGGTAATGAGTGGAGGACAGAGGAGCCTCTTAAAGAAGTTACAGGTCTGTGAGAGCCAGAAATCTTGCTTGTTTGTAGGTGACCACATACTTATTTTCCACCATAATTTGCAAATAAATTCTTTCCAAATCAAACAATGTGATTGTCTGGATTTGTTTTCTCATTTTGGTTCTCATAGTTGAGGTCTACCTATGATGACAATTACAGGCCTCTCTCATCTTTTTAAGTGGAGAACTTGCACAATTGGTGGCTGACTAAATACTTTTTTGCCCCACTGTATATATATACATACATACATACATACATACATACATACATACATACATACATATCAATGAAACCTGTTTTAATGCATTTATAATTTTTAAAAAGCACACCAAATCAGTTACTTTCTGTGTTAGTCAGCAATCCATTTGGAATATTAGATTTGTTACTTGCAAGGCATAAAAAGACACTTCAATTTCATTTTCAGTGTAATTTCTGCAGCTCTCATTTCAAATCGCTACTTTTCAAGTTCAGAGAGCAGAAATACATATTCATCATAGAGTAGCTGACTACGTATCCGCACTTGATTATACCTGAGCTAAGTGTGTGTGAATTGGTTCCACTGGGATGCATTATGTTTCAGTAACAAAGAAATATTAAAATCTAATTGTAATATTGTATCCATTCCTATGTTTACTTACTAATGAATTTATGAAAAATCTTATTCTGTGGTTTTTGTAGAGAATTCAAATAACTTTCCTAGAATAAAGCAGATCATCCTTTCACACAGCTCTATTTCTTTCCTTCTTTCTAGCTCCACTCACATAACTATCCCATTTACTTTGATTTTGCCCATTACGTCTGTTTTTAGCTTCTAAATTAATTAATTTGCACCTTATTAAAGCAATCATTTAAATAATGAATAAGAAACACAGAATAAAAGCAAGCCGTCCTGGAAAAAAAATTTCAGGTGCACTCAGTAGTCAGAAACCCAAGAGGGCTTTAGCTAGGAATTTTGAATAGTAATCGTTCATTCATCTGTTGAGCATTTTTTATACTCAACAGATTTTTAGAAGCAGCTTGTAAATTGGCATCAAAAGCAGTACATATTTCATTTAAACAGAATTCTGACTAGATTTTATTAGGCATTTGATATCCCTAAAGCAGTGGTGGCGAACCTGTGGCACGGGTGCCAGAGGCGGCACTCGTGCCAGAGGCGGCACTCAGACCCCTCTCTGTGGGCACATGCGCCATCGCCCCAGTCCTAGGCCTTCAGCTGGGGTTTATAAAACTTTTTCACTTTAGGCCTCCACTGCCATGTGCAAAAAATAAAAAAAGATTCAATCAGTCAATTTCAACTTCTTGCGGGGGGAAAAAAAGATCTCGGAGTCCTAGTGGACAATCATTTAAATATAAGCCAGCAGTGTGCTGCAGCTGCCAAAAAAGCCAACACAGTGCTAGGCTGCATTAACAGAGGGATAGAATCAAGATCACATGAAGTATTAATACCACTTTACAATGCCTTGGTAAGGCCACACTTGGAATACTGCATCCAGTTTTGGTCACCACGATGTAAAAAATATGCTGAGACTCTAGAAAGAATGCAGAGAAGAGCAACAAAGATGATTAGGGGACTGGAGGCTAAAACATATAAGGAACGGTTGCTGGAATTGGGTATGTCTAGTTTAACGAAGAGAAGGACAAGGGGGGACAGGATAGCAGTGTTTCAGTATCTCAGAGGCTGCCACAAAGAAGAGGGAGTCAAGCTATTTTCCAAAGCGCCTGAAGGCAGGACAAGAAGCAACGGATGGAAACTAATCAAGAAGAGAAGCAACCTAGAACTAAGGAGAAACTTCCTGATAGTTAGAACAATTAACCAGTGGAACAACCTGCCTCCAGAAACGGTGAATGCTCCAACACTGGAAGTTTTTAAGAAGAAACTGGACAGCCATTTGTCCAAAATGGTATAGGGTTGCCTGCCTGAGCAGGGGGTTGGACTAGATGACCTCCAAGGTCCCTTCCAACTTTATCATTATTATTATTATTATCTTGCAAAGTTGGAATTGATTGAACTTTTTAGTCCCACCCAGTCTGCC